CCCCCCCCCCACCCCCAGTAGGCCACGCTAAAATTATCAAACGTTGACAGGTCCGCGGTGATAAAAAGGTTGAAAACACTGTTTTAAAGGACGCTATACCTCGGAAGAAACTTTTCATATTAAATTCTGTTTCACCGGCATAGAGATTTTGAAGTTTAAAGAAAAAAAGAGAGTTGAGATAAATCTAGAGTTGTTCAGCAGTTCATGGATTCAGCAGTTGAAATCCATGAAGTTTCAACTGCTGGAAAAATGTTTTCAAAACATCAAAATGCAAACAAATTATTGCAAGTTTATTTCCCAATAAATAATCCTGAAATAATTTATTTTCATTTTGAAAAAAAAATATGAAACTTTTCTTTTTTTTTTTTTAAAGGTTTACCTGAACTCATTTTTTCTTTAACTTTAAAACACCAATGGAGGTGAAGTAGAATTTACCATGAAGAGTTTCTCCTGGAGTATAAGTAAAGCGTCCTCTTAAGATGGTTTTTCGAAGTTCTTTCGCTAAAATAAAATAATAAAAAAGCCACAGTTTAAGTGCCTTACGCTTGAAGCAAGGCTATAATTTTACACTATCTATGCCATCTTGCCGTACAGAATTGTCGGGGCTTTAGAACGAAAAAAAAAATATTTCAAAAGTTATTAAACTTTTCTAAAAATCGCCAATTTGGGGATATTTTCCCACTTAGATGTAAATTTTCAAAATCTGTGCCCTATACTCGTTTTTTGAAATTTTTTATGATCTCAAATAATACAGCATTGGAGTAAAGTTTTTAAATACAAAAAATTAGAAAGCAAAAATGCGCCATTCCTGTAGCACCAGACGGCCTCAGACTTTGTGCCAGGAGGAGTTCTTGGCTTAGACAAACTATAAAGCGTTCTCTTAAAATGGTTTTTTGAAGCTCTTCCACTGAGGAAAATAAAAAAGCCACAGTTAAAGTCTTTTACACTTGAAGCAAGGCTACAATTTTACACTATATATATCATCTAGCCGTAAAGAATTGTCTGGGCTCTAGAACTGAAAAAAGTAACAAAAATATTTTAAAAGTTATTAAACTTTTTAAAAAATCACCAATTTGGCGACATTTTTAAACCTAGATGAAAATTTTCAGAATCTATGCCTTATTCTCACTTTTTGCAAATTTTTATGATCTCAAATAATGCAGCATTGGAGTAAGGTTTTTAGATACAGAAAATTAAAACGCAAACATTTTTCATTTTCGTAAAGCTGTGGCTTTTCTCCATAATGACGTTTTGAATAAATATAGAATAGGTGCTTTCAGAAGGTAGGCTAAACTGAATCAAAGAGTCATGTGTAACTGCCACAAACTTACAGCAGTTATAAAAATAGCACATTATTTGAAGAAGAAAAAGCATCATTTCATGCTACTACAGACCCTTTGAAAAGCAGCCTTAAGAAGGAAATAAGCACGAGGATTCTTTTAGATAAAGCTGAAACGCGAAAATCATTTTCTTGCTTTATCTGTAGGTAAAGAGCAGAGAAAGAAAGAAAAAAAACCTTTTTAACAGTATTTTTCTCAAAAAACTATCTAACAAGGGAAACTAGTGAAGTGTGACTCGCCAATTTTGAAATAAACTAGTGGGATGTATGCCTTATGAGGAATAATTTTAGGGGGTAACAGTCGTTTCGGCCCATAGAAGGTCCTGTGAGAGATACAAAATGATTCAAGATATAGAAAAATCGGTATTTTATTACTTCAATGCAGACTATTAGTTATTGTAATTATCTCATACTCCAATTAATTTTGTGGTACTTTCACGTACTATGTAATGCATATTTATTGTCAAAATTGATTTCGAAAATTTTATATATCTGTAGTTTTTCAGAAAAACCTGTTAGGTTAATTTTAAAAAAAAAATTGACATCAAATTTTTTAACTTTTTTTTTCAAAAATGTTCCAAATTAATTGGAGTATGCAATTGCGAATCAATCAATTAATTAATTAATAATTAATTAATTAATTTGCTAATTGATTTATTAATTAGAAAATAAATTAATTAACCTATTAATTACAAATTAATTGGAGTATGAGACAATTACAATAACTAATAGTCTGCATTGAAGTAATAAAATACCGATTTTTCTGTATATTGAATTATTTTTTATCTCTCACAGGAACTTCTATGGGCCGAAACGAATGTTACCCCCTAAAATTATTCCTCATAAGGCATACATAGTTTATTTCAAAATTGGCGAGTCACACTTCCCTAGTTTCCCTTGTAAGTTAAAAAAAAGGATAAAAATGTCAGGAGAAAAAAAATAATAATCATTTTCTAATCATGATAAAGCATATATGAGAGTTACTTAACAATATTTTATGCAAAGCATTAATGTCACCACTGGAAAACTTAATTATCTAAAAGTAATATCGCGCAAAAAACTATTTATTTCACATTATTATTCATTTTTAATAATGAATGGAAAAATTTGAATTATAATGTATTATAAATTATAACTGTTAAATTACCTAAATTTAAATACCGAAATAGGGAAGGGGGGTGAACGAAAAAACTTTTTTTTAATTTAATGACTATTTTATATTTAATTTAATAATAAATGTAAAAAATTTACTAACAATGTACTTTAATTTTCAAATCTTGTTCAGCTCCTTAATTTTAAATGTCAAAATTGAGAAAAAGGGGAACAAAGGGAATTTTTCTTAATTTAATAATTATTATTTTTTTTTAAAATTTAATAATGAATGGAAAAATTTCAATTATATATAATATTTAGATTGTGTCAAACTATACAATTTTAAATGTCAATATTGGAAGAGGAGATATTAAAAAATAAATCAAATCATTCGCGAATCATTTTTACTTTTTATACATCTACATCACAATGCTGCCAGTTTTCAATGCTATATTTCTGAAAAGTTTTTTTTAACATAAAAAAACATATTTAGACAATAAAGAAAAAATACAGCAAAAGTCCGTTATTGAGATAATTCACAATAGCGAAAGGTTGTCGTTATAGTGAGCTGGCTATAATCAAATGCACATATTTAATTTTAAAATGCAAATACCTTTCTTTAGTACTGTATTCTCATACACACACTAATTTCGTGACGGAATTAGTTGACTAATTTAACTAAGATAAGAACTCAAACTAGTTTTAGTAACCAACAATTCCAAAACGTAATAAGATTTTGCAAAATACAAGAGAAAAAAATGAAGCGCAAAAGGTGTTTTTGATGTGATAACTCATTTCAATTGTAAGCTGCTTTTAAATGTAAGGAGGTGAAATAATAAATAGGTACATGTGGTTAACAAAAGGTACATTCTTTCGTAGCAGGCAGCATGATTTCCTACAAACAGCGGAAGTTTTTTTTATTTCAATGTGGTCTGCTCTATAAACATTTGAATTTAAGATAAGCAAATAAAGTGAAATGATGTTCGTTTTATAGAAGGATCCATTCATACATTAATTTATTCATCTCCCAGATTGCAATTTTGACCTGAACCAGAGAACGATCAATTCAGTACACCAAGAGGTACTGATTTGTTACGAGAACTTGGAGGACTTTGTGACCCTGACATATTTAATGTGCACCAGTCACCATTTGCTAAACAGGGAATTCGGTGCCGGCCGGGATCGAACACACGACCTCTTGCACATGATAGGTAGGGTTCAATACCCTCCAAACCAAGCTATCCCGGATCTTAGATGCCGTACTTTTTATATTCAGTTTTCACTGTGCATAAAAAACAATTTTGGAGTTCAAAATAGGAACTGAAATAGAATACCGGTTTCACTTTCCAAACCGAGTAAGAATAAAAAAACTGGAAAACACGAACAATAGCTTACATTGAATCTATAAATTCTGATCGTATTTCATGTATTTTTAGAAAGTAATTTATACACTGAAATTCAATTATAATCTCAGAGAGTCTAGCAAAGTTATGGATGAAAGTTCTTTAAGGTTATCCTAATTATGTTAAAATTTTCCCCACCACTTTTTTCGCATCATTTAATTTTAATTGTATAAAAATAATAATAATCTGTTATAAATGTTTAAAAAAATTTATATATCTAATATTTTATTATAAAAAATTTCTTTTAATTTAATAATTATTATAGATTTAAAAAAAATTACTTTAGGCGAAACACAGAAAGGAGAAAAACTTGTCCTGAGCAGAGTAATGAAGTATTTAAATAAAATACTGGATAACTTCCAAAACTCGTGATGAAGGCAAAAAGTAATTTTCGGGAAAAATTCAGTGAGTTGCATAAATGAAGGCAGGAATCCTAATCATCTAGTTCCGTGCACGCTAACTAGTAGTTGATCTAACATGCGACATAGTACAACATGACTAAATACAACATGGATGTCGCTACGCTAAAACAGTTCAATTGACACTGTAGTGAAAATCACTCTTTTTGCAAAATTCACAATAATTGCCATAAGAAAAAATTTATAGAATATATTTTAGAAAATTAAGCACTTTTTACAAACTTAATGAAAAATAAGCATCTTTAAGAGTTTTTAAAAACCAAAAATTTTTTTATGCATACTGTATATAGTTTAGTTTATTATCATTACATATTATTTTAATTACTATTATTCTTTTTAATTAAAAAAAATTTTGAAAATTATGAGACGCACATTTCTCTCTTTTTTTACAAGCTTTTAAGAAAAAAAATTTAAATTGAAAAAAAAAAAAAAAAAAATTATAATTTATCACTATTTTCATAAATTGTCATTAAACATAGAGCAAAACAATACACAATTTAGTTATTCTAAATTGAATAGTTTTCAGTTACAAGTGAATTTTCAGAATTTAAAAATGCTCAACTCAAAATTATGAAATGTTTTATTTTTAGAAGCTGGCTTAATAAATGAACCAAATTTCATAGCAACCTAAATTATTGACCTAAAAAAAGTGTTGATTTGAAGTGGGATTCACAGAATGTAATATAAAAGCTTTAGGAATAAGTACATACATTAAATATATTAATAAATAACAGGTTAACCATCTTTTAATTTACAGTTTTTATTTTTCTGAAGCTTACAATAATACCCAGATTACAAATGAAAATCCACAGACACATACATACAATGAATATTTTTTTCTAAGGAAAAAAAAAGAGGCATAACATAGTACAAATATGAAGAAAAAAAATAATTAGCAATGTATAGATTTTTCAGTCTCTATTGAAGAAGAACTTATTTATTTCAATAAAAAAAAGAGATGTTACTTTAATTACATTAGATAAATCTGCAGTTCACAACACAAAAACTTAGAGAATGTTGACTGCAAATAACATAAAATCTTGTCAATTAAAAATTTAAAGCAAATGAGCATGAGAAATTTATTAATGGCTAGTGAAAGCAATGATGCCGAAATGCTGAAACTTTTGATCTATGTTCATCAACACACGGACATTCCGAAATCTCTTCGATGATAACGATCAGGGTCGAAATATGAAGTGACCACAACTCTGTTGGCAAATTTTCTACCAGTCAATGATTGTTGAGCTTTTTGACAGTCAATAATAGAGTTAAATTCAACAAAGACCTAAAAAAAAAGTAAATATTTTTCAATGAACTGCAGCAATAACCAGCAATTTTACTAATATTTTAAAAGCTATTTTTTATCAATACAATGAATAGGGTAGAAATAGATTTTATTGCTATTTAATAAACACAATGAAAAACATATCTCACTATATTGACAAAATTTGTTCTTTCAAAAAAATAAAAAATTATTTCTTTATTTTTTAACAATACAAAATGCCTATAAATGTATCTGCATCTATTAAATTTATGAAAATAAAAACTAAAGTCACACTATAAAAATAATACAAAAACAAGATACAAATTTTTTAAAATTTTTTTATTTAAAATTTTTAATGCGTAAGAGACAGAATAAAGCCTAAGCACGTTTCCAACAGTTTTGAGATATTAGGTGAAAAATCTACTTTAATCATCATTGCAAAACGAAAAATAAGAAAATTTCTATGTTAAAAAATTATGCAAGGAAAGTTTTCAAAAAGAAAAATGATTCCCCCCTCTTTGACTTTCAGGGTATGTAGCCAGATTTTTCAACAAAAAATAAGTACTTTGTAAGTACTTTTTAAGCACTCAAAAAATACTTTTAATCACTTTCCAAAAAAATCATAATTAGGATCTGTACAGTTAAAGTTCTTAATTTATGACATAAAATCAATAAAAATCAAAAACATTTTCACAAGCTTCACATAATCATGATAAAATAACTAGTTTCTGATAAATATTGTAGAGAAAATTGTGAAAATCAAGCATTTTTTTTAAAATTTAGAGCGACAATCGCCACGGCAAAGAAAAAATATATTTCTAAAATATAGAAAATTAAGCACTTTTCATAAACTCTGAATAAAAAAAAGCACCTTTAAGGGCTTTTAAAAAATTTAAATAAAAAAAATAAGCACTTTTAAGCAATTTTTAAAAACGGCATGCATCCTATTAATGAAAAATACCTAACACTATCTTTAATACCAACAACAGTCAAACTCGCTTATAACAAGCTTCGATTTAATGACGAAATCGAAAATATTAGGTTGGTACAACGTTAAGTCTTAATGGAGCATGTCTCATTTTTAACAAGCAAACCCTGGCTTTAGCGAGCAATATTTTTTATTCATAAAATTGTTTAACTAATTTCACCTTTTCATACTTTCTAGGAAATACTCCTTATTATTGTTTTTTGGATCAACAATAGACTTATTGATGTCAAAGACGTATAACAGACCATTAGCTTTAGTCGGACCATAACACAGCAAAGAGAAAATAAAACAGTTCAATGCAAATTAGCTTCTTTCGTACTGCACAGAAATAAAAAATAAAGTACCAAATTACTACTCAGCAGTACTATTTACAGTTCAATGCAAATTAGCTTCTTTCGTACTGCACAGAAATAAAAAATATATTACTATTTTAGTAGTACTATTTACTATGATTGAATTCTTACTTTTTTTTAACTAACTTTTTTCAGAGCACTCGATTGTAATGAGCAAAAATTGCAGCCCCTTAGTGTTTGTATATAAACAAGTTTGACTATAGTTTAAAAAAATTTCTGATAAATGGCAACAGTAGTCAAGTAAACAATGCTGAATCTCGGTTTTCACAGAACTCTGTGATTTGAAAAACAGTCATTTTTAGTTGCATACAGGAAGCAACTGTGTAATCTAATCATGGTAGGTTTTTTTTCCACCATATAAGATTAAACTAGCATTTAATTTCAGAAAATAATGTGAAGATAAGTTTGAAATTCTTACTTTTCCACATCCAGGGACATCTACACCTTCAATTGGTCGTGGAATTTCAATACTCTTAACAGTACCATATTTTGTACATTCTTCTCTAATATCCTCTAAAATATCTGCAAAGAGAAAAATTTTTGTTTAAAGCAAGTAACTAGTGTATTATAATTATAAACAATGATATAAGAAACTTAATACAAACAATGAGATAAGAAGAAATGAAATACAGTCAAACTTCTATAACTAGATGATTGGATAGTTTGAAATTATTTCAAAACTGTGGCAAAAATTTAAATTATAACAATGAATTCTTTTTCAACTGCTAAAATTTCAATTAGTCAAATTTTTTTCAATAAGTCGATTTTTAAGGGGGGGGGGCATTTACACCCTATAAAACCTTTAAATGCGAAAAAGATTCTCAACTAACACAAGTGTAAGAAGGGAGCCAGCAACTTAGGGAGGTTAAGCTTTTTTAAATTTCCCTTCATTATTCTAAAAACTATTTAAAAAGTAGTAAAGAAGGACATAGTCAAAATGTAGGTTTGTCTATTATTACATTGAAAAATTCTGAAAGTAAGAATGTAAAAGGATCTTCTTCCTTTATTTCTGACACTGTTGTAATAGCTTTAAGTGACCGATTCCATTTTGTTTCCTTATCAATATTCTCCCTTGGGTGGTACCATGGGTTTAAATTGATAGTCTCCAATTTTTATTTCAGGATATTAAGTTAAAATGTTTCAAGTTCGTTCTCATTTTTTTTATATATTTGATATGTGAAATATGATGCACTAAGTTCTGAATATGAAAAGATTGTTATATAAGTAACCATGTGTTTGGTTGGAAAACTCTAGTTTCTGTTTTAGGTCTGGTTTGCTAAGTCTGGCATAGGTGTCTGGTTTGCTAATCTTTTGATTTTTAAAGCTTAACTATGCGAATGGTGTGTACAATTTTTGTAAAACAGTTACCAAACCTTCACTGCAAATTTCAGTGTGAAAAAGGGAAATGTTTTGTTATTATTCATTGACATGTCCAACATAACCTAAAATGATACAAAATTTGTAATCCATCAACCCTTCTTATTTTGGCAATTTCTGCAAAAATGACTTATAAGTGATATTTTCAAATAATAATAAGAAATTCAAGATAAAAATAATAGGATAATGGATGATTTTATATACAATAAAAGACAAATTCTCGAAAGATTAAATACGCCACGCAATTAATTTCTTACTATGAATTAAGAAAGTGTAAATCTTATAATCAATCTTATCTTTTGAATAAGAATGCTGAATTTTTTTAAAATTTTTATTTTTAAGTATAGCCCTAAGTCATACTACAGGGTTCATGCTCTACTTTAGAAATAAAATTCAAGTACTTTTCAAGAACTTTTTAAGACTTATTATAAAATTCTCAAGGACTTAAATTTTAGAAAAAGATAGACTAAAATTTTACATTTTAAACTAAAATGTTTTGACGATACTAGTTAATTGACGATAAATGTTAGACGATAATAGCAGCACTGAAAAATAAGACTTCCATTGCTCTCTTGATTTCGGAAAGTGATCTAAGTATAAAAAAAGCAAGGGTGATTGGCATCAAGTCGAGAATAAAATTCATGATTCATAAAAACGTCAGATTTGAATTTTGCACAAGGCCTATTTTAAGCTAGGTATACAACCTCTGAATAAGCAAAAATTCGGGCAGGATGGGGGGGGATGTTCTATATAATACTACGATATCAATTAGATATTTAAAAACAACTCTGCCGGGAGATTTTTATTTAATATTTAAAGTGGCAGAAGCATTTAGACAGTGAAATTTAAATTGTTCTTAAATATAATTTTGAAATTTTGACCACTTTTCTATTAAAGAAAATTAATCAATTATTGGATGTTGCGGCTTAATTATCATTTTAAATTTATTATGGGTCAACCATTTTAAATTGAATCAGTTGCCAACTTTCACCTCAATATCTTCTGATAGATTCTTACTAACAATTTTGGTCACTTTGACTGTTTTAATTAACCACTCATACTTGAATTAATTTTTTTTTTCAGTAGCATCGATCACACGCACTCGACATGGTCACATGAACACGAATCGTAACGAGTAGTCTTCAAATAGAGTATAAATACGAAAATCGATGTTTGATATTACAACATCGATGTTTGATATTGCAAAATCAATGTTTGATATTGCAAAATGCGTGAATACAAATAGCGACATTGGATTTTAAACTTGCGGAAAAACTAATCGCGATTTTGGGGTTTAAAAATGCTTAAGTACAAATTTTGAATCACGCGAAAACGAATCGCAATACATAGCTTTTAAATCAGTTTAATACGAAGATCGATGATTGATATTAAAATTGCCTGAATAAGAATCGAGATTTTGTCAAAATCTGGTGCAGTTCCCAATATTTAAAATTCCTAAAATCAGCCAAACATACATAATATCCTAAAATCAAACAGTACGTGTCATCATCTGAAAGGCGGGAAAGTTATTCTCTCACATTTACGTGCGTCAAAAAGTTAAACACAGAAATGCTGAAAATAGGGCTGTTTTCCTGAGTTTTCGATACTTTTCAAGGTCATTTTGAATTTTCAAGGATTTAATATCATTTTCAAGTACTTCTAGGGGCCCTTGAAAATCAAAATGAAATTCAAGTACTTTTCAAGGTTTTTTAAAGGCCGCGGGAACCCTGAACTAAGTTAGATAAGGTGAATCGGATGCTGTTTTATAATTTTAATGAGATTCTGCTCAAGAAGCTCAATGAGAAATTTCATGATCATGCTGGAGCGCATGTCCTCTAACACATTGGTTCTCAGCCGCCAATCCACAGATTAATATTTGCACTAGAATTACTTTATAATGCATTATAAATATATAATATTTATAATTAAGTAGATTTAGGGTCAAAATATTTTTCATTCTAGAGATTATGTGATTGATCAGAAGCAAACTAATCAACCACAATTTTATACAAGTAGAAAATAGACCAAATCTCCAAATTACCAACCCTTTTTGGTCCATGATGAAATGAAACAAATATTTTACTGCTCGCTTGAGTAAATCCAGTTAGCTGTGACTTCTCCTACCAGCATAATGGTTTTAACCAGTTCTCAAAGTAACACTGTCTTTTCACCACATTCTTCAGAGACCCATATTTTATTTCTCTTGACAAGTTGGGAAGTAAAAAAAAAATAGTCTACACCAGTTTCAATTTAAGAGATAATATGTTGGATACCATCTTTAAGCATTTATTGGTCTTTATTCATTCTGACAAACTTCTCTCTTAGATGGTTACTTATATATGGGGAAACAAAAAGTATATTTATGTTATATGAAATTCTTAATAAATAATTTTGTGTATGAGGGCTGCTTCAATTAGTAGGTTCCTTCTGTATCATTTAGTAGGTATAACAATTTTTTTCTGTATGGCACATACATTATATGGGATTAAAGATGGCAGCAACTTTTTTAGCGTTTTCGTACACCCAAAGAGAGTTTTCTTCTCTATATGACATAAATGCCATGGACATAAAAAGTAAAATTAACATTAAGAGGTCCAAACCTTTGACCACCCTTCTGATTTAATTAATAAGACTATTTTTTAGATTGAGTCTACTTCCCACATTTTAAGTGTCAAAAAACTAAATCAGACAAAAATAAAGACATATTTATTCAGAGAAAGTACATTTTGGCATTTGATTTTAAAACTTAAAATGTTGTCTAAAAAAAAAATCTACATATTTAAGGTTAACCCTTCTAACCTTTAAAATAGCATCATAGTACGTAGCAATCTGATCATCAGATTTAAAATTATTAAGGTGCTCCTTTTATTTTATGCCCGGTATGCAGTGACTTCCTAATGTATCTTAATATTATTCAAATTGTAGGTTTTAATTAAAATTAAGTTAATTTTAACTTAAATGCATTTCTTATTAAATATCTTGTTTACTTTATTTGTGTCCTGTATAATAAAATATACTGTTATTTTTAACTGATGCATATTTTTGTTAATTTGAACTTCGTATTTGAATTACTGAGTCCATTTCATATAATTTATTGAACCTTAAGTTTACCTTCATATTCTTCTTCATCAACAAGCTCTTCTGGAACAACCATGTTCATTAAGCATAAAATTTCTGTTGCAGGACCTGGTCCTTGAGTAACCTGTAAACCAGGAACTTGTACTTGAACTGGTACCTAAAGAAGAAAAAAATAAGCATACCAAAATTAATTATGTAACTATAATCAAAAGTATACGTAAATAGCTAACTTATTCAATCAGTCTTACGTTTGTTTGAACATTCTTTGCTCCAACACTAGCACGCTGAACGATAAGACGCTTGTCACTTAGCTGCATACCATTAAGACCTTGAATAGCCTTAAAAATAAATACATTTTATAATAAAATATCAGCGATATCTCTAGGAATAAAACAGAGCACAGCGCTTCCTCACAGAGAAGAGCACTGTGAATTTTAAAATGGCACTCACTTAACACTGTAAAAATTTATCTGTATAATGTTACATAACAACTAAATTTGATCCTCAATAATTTTTAAATTACCCCCTTAAAGTATATAATGTATAGATTTCAAAAAGTATATGTCACACATTATCAAAACAAGAAAAAAAATCGAAACTAAAGCGAACTAAAAAAAAATGATCGATACATAACTTGAAAATCGATGTTAAGACAATAAAATCGCGATTTGAAAAACGGGTAAACACAAATTGCAATATTGGATTTTTAAATCATGTGAATAAGATTCACAATGCGCATATTTCAAATCTGGTAAATACGAAAATCTCTGTTTGATATTCAAATCACGTGAATAAGAATCGAGAAAAAGCGGATTCTGGACATGGGATTTTTAACAGGCTTGTTAGTGTTGTTTTTGCTTATCCATAATAAATAAAAATGTACAAATTAATTGAAGGAGCAAATAAATATTTTCACAGTAAATCCATCGTTATTTTTTTATTATTTCGCTTGCTTTCGCGCCAGTAAAAAAGGGATCAGCGACTTTTGAATTACAAAAACACGAGCAATCTGGCGGGCAGGTAAAAATACAGAAAATCTTATTTTCTGCGCGCAAAAAAGGAGAAAATAGCTAAAATAATTACAAATACGAAAGGGTTAACAGCTACGACGTAGTTTGAATTTTCTATTTATCTTTGTAAATCGGATTATATAATTCAATGGCTGAATTTTCAAAAAAGAGGAATATTCATTTTTAAAAAAAAACTTTTAGAGAATCAGAGCTTTGGACAGACAAAAAAAAAAAAAAAAAAAAAAAAAGAAAGAAAGAAAGAAAGAAAAAGGCTGAAATTTAAGAGACAAAAAAAGCGGAAATCAGCTAAAATGCAGAAAAATCTCAGCCGTGCTAATTATTCTTTAAACATTGAGCTATTTTTTTTAAAATGGAATGAGTAAAAAGACAGTAGTTTTAAGGGATGACTGTTTATTTTTACTAAAAGGGAAAGGGGAATGGATGTAAGGGAATGGAGCAAGCATGGCCCTTTTAAAAAATGCTTAGAGAAAACAAGGAAAATATAACAATTAAGCGTAAAGTGTAGAAAACTATTTTATAGCAGCTCCAACTGTTAAATAAGCAATTTCTTTTTTAAATTTTTTATAGGAAAAATGCATGCCAAAACATTAAAATTTGATACATCAAAAAAATTCAATAGGGTATTCATTAAAACAAATTTTTCATTTGACTTCAATTTTTTTTTTTTTTTTTTTTTNTTTTTTTTTTTTTTTTTTTTTTTTTTTTTTTTTTTTTTTTTTTTTTTGCACATTTAGTGGAATATATTACAAAACCGCTAACTATTTTTAGAAGGATACATGAAATTGCACAAAAATATCTTAATATAAAAAAATACGATAACTTAATCAAAATATTAGCACAATATAAAAATCCAGAATGTAAAGAATTTCAATCCAGTCAAAGTTTTATTAGCTAGTTTTATCACTGGAACTCCTAAAAAATAACTAAGACTAGCCAATTTATTTAAAAACAAATATTTTTTTCGTATTTGATCTTTAAGTACAAATGAAGTCAAGTTTAAGTTATCAACAAAGTAAGAGCATTTTTAAAAATAAACGAGGTTCAATGCAACATAAACAGAAGGGAAAACATGAACTCAATTCACAAATAAAGAATAAGCTTTCTCAAATGTATCAAATTTAAATGGATGGCTGTTCACTTTCTACATTGTTAAGCTTCATTAATTAATTAGTAATATCTGTATAAAGCTGTCTTAGAAATCCAGCTGTATCACTGACTTCTACGAGCAACTTTACACTTTAATTTAGCATCACTTTAACTTGAGCACACAATAATACGCTCAAGTCATGAGAAGATGCTAACTAAGGAATTATTCTCGGGATGGATTAAACTAAAATGTAAAAAATTTAATTTCATAAAGCTTAGTTAACTCTATCAGCTAGAGCTTTATAAAGTTGTCTTAGAAACTCGGCTATATAACTGTGGCTGCTGTTTGCAACTTGCACTCGCAGTTTTGTTATGCAGATATTTTTTAATCATAATTGTGTCGAGCTGAACTTGAAATGTTGCCTCATACAGGGATGAGAGTAGTCAGAAAGTAAAAAAGAGGAAATCCAAGAAAAAAAAATTTAAAAAAAAATNTATATATACACAAGCTATGATATCCAAAAATTTGACAAAATAAATATGATTCATATGCATGATTTTAAAATCGTATGATTAAGTATTGTAATATTTAAGTTTAAATTGAGAGAATATGAATCCAGATGTGGCTTTTAAATCACGTAAATATATCGAATTTTAAAAAATTTGAAAATACAAATCACAATGAGTAATTTTTAGATCGCATGAATATGAATCCCTATGTTTAATTTTTAAATCACGAATACAAAAATCAATATTAAATAATAAAATCGCACTATTGGATTTTTGAATCGTGTGAAAAAGAATCGCAAAGCGCATCTTTTAAACCTGGTAAATATGAAAATCGCTGCTTGATATTAAAATCACATGAATAAGAATAGAGAAAAAGCAGGTTCTGGACATGGGATTTTTAAAAGGCTTGTTCATATTGTTTTTGCTTATCCATAATAAATAAAAATGTACAAGATTAATTGAATGAGCAAATAAATATTTTCACCGCAAATACACCGTTATTTTTTTTAGTATTACATTTGCTTTCGCGCCAGCAAACAAGGAGCAGCGACGTCTGAATTACGAAAATACGAGCAATCTGGTGGGCGGGTAAAAATACAGAAAATATTATTTTCTGCGAGTAAAAGCGGAGAAAATAGCTAAAATAAGTACAAAAACGAAAGGGTTAGCAGCTACGACGTAGTTTGAATTTTCTATTTATCTTTGTAAATAGGATTATATAATTCAAGGACTGAATTTTCAGAAAAAGAGGAATATTTATTTTTTTTTTAAAAAATTTTACAAAACGGATCTTTTAGAGAATCAGAGCTTTGGATAACAAAAAAAAGCTGAAGTTCAAGAGACAAAAACAAAAAAAGCAGAAATCAGCTAAAATGAGAAAAAATCTCATCCCTGCTAATTATTCTTTTAACATTGAGTTATTTTTTTAAAATGGAATGAGTAAAAAGAAGGGAAGATTTAAGGGATGACTGCTTATTTTTACAAAAAGGGAAATGGGAATGGATGAAAGGGAATGAATGAAAGGGAATGAATGGAGATGCAATGGAGCAAGCACGGCCCTTCAAAAAATGCTTAGGGAAAACAAGGAAAATATAACAACTAAGCGTGAAGTGTAGAAAGGTATTTTATAACATCTCAAACTGTTAAATAAACAATTTCCCTTTTAAATTTTTTATAGGAAAAATGCATGCCAGAACATTAAAAAAAGTCAATAGGGTATTCATTAAAACAAACTTTTCATTTGACTTAAAAATTTTTTTTGCACATTTAGTGGAATATATTACAAAATCATTAACTATTTTTAGAAGGATACATGAAATTGCACTATAATATCTAAATATAAAAAAATTACAATAACCTAATCAAAATATTAGCACAATATAAAAATCCAGAATGTAAAAAATTTCAATCCATTTTATTATCTAGTTTTATCAATGGAACTCCTAAAAAATAACTAAGACTTGCCAATTTATTTAAAAACAAATATGTTTTTCGTATTTGATCTTTAAGTACAAATAAAGTCAAGGTTAAGTTATCAACAAAGTAAGAGTATTTTTAAAAATAAACAAGGTACAATGCAACATAAACAAAACAGAGAAAGCATGAACTCAATTCACAAATAAAGAACAAGCTTTCTCAAATGTATCAAATTTAAATGCAAATCAACATACGGCTTTCCACTTTCTACATTGTTAAGCTTCATTAATTAATCAGTAATATCTGTATAAAGCTGTCTTAGAAATCCAGCTGTATCACTGACTTCTACGAGCAACTTTACACTTTAATTTAGCATCACTTTAACTTGAGCACACAATAATACGCTCAAGTCATGAGAAGATGCTAACTAAGGAATTATTCTCGGGAGGGATTAAACTAAAATGTTAAAAATTTAATTTCATAAAAGCTTAGTTAACTCTATCAGCTAGAGCTTTATAAAGTTGTCTTAGAAACTCAGCTATATAACTGTGGCTGCTGTTTGCAACTTGCACTCGCAGTTTTGTTAAGCAGATATTTTTTAATCATAATTGTGTCGAGCTGAACTTGAAATGTTGCCTCATAGGATAATAAAGACGAAACGGATAAGAATAAATGGGAGGAAAGAAGGCAAGAGAATTAATAATAGAAAGTAGAGAAAGAGCTTCGCTCAAGCGAACAAGGAAGAAAAAACAGTTTCCCGAGGGTGCATATTTTTGCTCTCTTTTTTTTAGGAAGCAATGATAGCTTGCTTCAGTTTATAACTAATAACAGAAGAGGGGGGAAAAACAGATGGAGGAAAAAACAATAGAAAAGGGAAAAAGAGCTTTGAAAGACAGAGATAATACATATTTTAGAAATCCATTATAATTACATTTATAATCTAATTCAATAAATAATTTCACTTTATATACTACTTATATTTCCAATTATTACAATTCATAAAGTTTTCGACAAACATCATATCAGAAATGCAATTTTATCGATTATAGTTGTTAATTTCAGGCATGAAAGTGGACAAAAACAAAAAAAGCTGAACTTTTACAACGCTGGCTTCTATATGATACTGAGATATATAAAAGCAACTTTTAACTATGCTGGGAGAACTTTATTTAACATTCAAGTGGCAGGAGCATTTAGACAGTTAACTTTAAATTTTTCTTAAATATAATTTTAAAATTTTGACCAATACTATATTAAAGAAAATTAAACAATTATAGGAAAGCACGACTGTTAAATTACTTACTAATGAAAAATATATCACATCTTTATAGTAACTAAATCAAGAAAACTCACTTCTACTTCTTTCAAGAATCGCGACATTGGATTTTAAAATCGAGTGAATATAAATTGCGCTGTTAGATTTTAAAAACATGAAAATAAAAATCACTATATTGGATTTTAAAATCGTGTGAATATGAATCACGATTTTGGATTTTAAAATTGCGTGAATATGAATCGTGCGGTTGGATTTTAAAATCGCGTGAATATGAATCACGCGGTTGGATTTTAAAAACACGAAAATACAAATTGCGATATTGAACTTTTAAATTGAGTAAATAAGAATCACAATGCATAATTTTCAGATTAAGTGAATACGAATCGGAATGAGTAATTTTTAAATAGCGTACAAATACAAAAAACGATATCTGATATTGCAACTGCGTGATAACGAGTCGCAATATTGGATTTAATAATGCGTGAATGCGAATCGCGACGTTGGATTATAAACTTGCGAGAATACAAATCGCTTTATTGGGTTTTAAAAACGCTTAAACACAAATTGCGATGTTGAACTTTTAAATTGAGTGAATGAGAATTGCTAGTATGCTTTTTAAATCGCGTAAAAAAATTGCAACACGTAAGTATTAAATCAGTTAAATACAAAAATAGAGAATTGATATTAAAATAGTCTGATTAAGAATTGAGATTTTAGCAGACTCCGGCGCAGTTCCCAATATTTAAAATTCCAAAACTCAGCCAAACAAAACAATTTAAGTATTGGTGGTCGAAACGAAACGCTTAGACTCCTTTCCACTCTATGGAGGAAGTCCCGGTAATCCGACTACCGTTCAGGTAGTCGGATTACCGGCTTGGGTTTCTCTGATTGGACTCCCCAAAAATTTTAGTTTTTGGAACATGGTCAGAAATTTAAAAAATTGGGAGAAAAAAGCAGATATCCGCTTTTTCGAGGATGTCTTTCATCCCTGTAATTTACAATCGGTATAGTTTAACTGACCCAAACAAAAATGCATGGTTTACGTCATAATTTAAAGTGGGCGCTTAAATGGTATTTTACGGTAAATAAAATCATTAAAATCAATAAAGCATTATTATAAAAAAAATAGAATTCAACTTATCACCATTTAAATATATTTCTTTTTCTTATAGAGAAAAAAGCTATTGAAATTGTATGAAATTTTCTTAGAAAAACAGCTGGAAGACTTCTACAAGTAATTTCAAATAATGTACTTGAGTCATGAGAAGACGCTAATAAAAATTTTTTTGGTTGATTGCATTCAAATAAGGTTATGTTTTTAAGAAAAATCCAAAGAAACTGAGTGTATTTATGCTCTCACTTAAACCTTAAACATGCTAAATGATTCCATAACCAACAAAACCAAAACTTAAAATTTGTGACGTTCTTAAATGCTGACTCTAATCTCTAGTCAGAGTTTTCAGTAATAAAAATGAAAATTTTCAATAGTTTTCAAGCCCTTTCAATAGTTTTACAACAAAATGTGCTTTGACAATTTTAATACAATAATATGAAATAATTGTAATAACTGCCCTAAAAAACAAACAACTGCTGAAAAATGATCAGAAAGAGATATGGATTCATGATCAAACATGTTTGAAATTCTTATGCTGCAATAATATTGTATAAAAAAAAAACCAGAATTGGAAAGATGTGGAAATGGTTAAAGAAAAAAAAAACTAATATTTTCCAAAAAAAATGGTTTGGATTTATAAAGGAACCGTCTTGTATTTGACACACAAAAAAGCATTAGGTCAAATTTAAAATTCATGTGTAAAAATATTATCATATTATTAATAATGGAGTTTTCAAAAATGCGGAAATGGATCAAAGAATGATCAGAAAACAATGCAGACTTTGGCTGGAATCTTCGCATCAAAGAGACTACTTATGACTGAAAAATGTGCATTGTGTTAAATAAATCAGAATTTGATAAACCTTGGAGAATTGCTTAAATACAGGAAACTGAAAAATTTAAGATTGGTTATATTCCGTAATCGGTATAACAGGTGAAAATGCATAGAAATCACAGAGAATCTTAAGCATTTGGAGTCTGAAAACGTCCAAAAAAATTGAAAATTCTCCAGCAACTTAGCATAATTTCTTATAGATAATATTCCTGTGCTATTTTTTAAACATAACCAGTCATCAGCTAAGATTTTTTGTGATAATTTTACAAATCTAAAACTAGCATCAAATCTCCAGCTTTTTAGAATATATAGAAAAATAATGATAAATAATATTTGTAAAGGGAAGTTTTTACAAATAAATATTTTGCTAACGATTTGTTACTGTCGTAAATCTATAGAGATCTCTGATAACAAAGAAATCATTCATTTACATTTGGTTTAAAACTGGTTTCAATAATTACAAAAAAACAAAAAAAACAACCACTTTCCTTTTCAGCTTCAGAATACAAAAAAATATTTATCATTATTTTTAATCATTTATAAGAGGTTTTAGAAGTGCTATAATTTTTTAGCAAAATAGAGAAGATTTAACTAACAAATACCTTTTAAAATTTAAATTATGAACCGAAGGCAATACTGTTAGTATAAAAAAAATTTTACATTAAATGTTATCATATACAAAATGTTGTAAATGAGGATAACAAATTACCTGATCAGTACTGATTGTGTCGACATATTCACAAAATGCATATCCTTTAGATAAGCCTGTTGCAGTATCTTTAACCAAATTAAAGGCTTTTAATTGGCCAAATGATAAGAGGAAATCCTTTACCTAAAAGGACAAAAACCACAAAACATAGATTAGAAAGAGACAAGACTTGTTTCTTTAAAAAAATAATTTAGATTATTCAAATATTTTTTGTTTTAAAAATCGAGCAATTCAATTGATTTTGAATGGAAAATTAAATTACGAAAAACACATAACATACATAAAATTAGAAACAAGATTGATTTTTTAAAAATTTAATTCATCAAAAATGTCCACTATCGAATTCAAATAGACATTAAAAAAATTTTATATTTTTCAAACATTAAAGTAGGTAAATATGAAACAAAACTAAATTTAAGCATGTCTGATAAAATATGAGAAAAAAAACAATTCAATGACATTTCTTTTAAAATGAAATCAATATATTTAAAATGTGTAATGCAATCTTCAGATACAAAGAGACTTATAAACATATGTACAAAAAATTAATTGCAACAATACCTAACTTTAATAAGGCCTAATTTTTATTAAAATACAGAGTAGTTATAACGATACAAAATTAGGTGTGTGAAGTGCCAATACTTGAAAACTATTGTGACTAGTACAATCAAATTTAGCAGCTAAAATTGTCGAATCAATGGTCGATACTGCAAAAATTTTATTGTCAGGATTAGCTTTATATCCAGTTATAATAAAGAGGTCAAAAAATTTTTTTAAAGTTTGTTTAATTATAAAACAAAATCGATTTAAATAATTTTAGTTTATTTTATTTTTAAAAATCATGAAATCTTTCTAACTGTCGAACATCGGATTTAATTTGGTTTAATATATTCAAGAAATAAGAATAAAAAACCTACTATTATTTTATAGAAGCTTTTGTACAGTAAGATAGTGCAAAACATATTAAAACTTTCAATAAACACAAATGAGATAACACTATATAAAAAATAACAATCATTTAAAAGTAAAATAACTAAGAACCACTAATAACTTGACATTTTTTCTTTACAAAACAAGATTTGAAGCATGTGCTGTAGTACAGATCTCAAGTTACTAACAGCACAAGTAACTATTCTATATCTTGACGCACATAAAGTGCTAGATGATTGATGCTGTCCTAAAAAGCCTGCAAGGCAGAATTTTGATAGTGTAAATTATATAAAACTTGCCTGTTTTTGCCCACAAAATGTCACAGAGTTGTGAAGTTTCATGTTTTGGTTTAGCAACTAGGTACGGGGTTACCAAGCTCGTAACCTACGCTACGAATTAGATGGGGAAGAAGAGTAAAAATCAGTAAGTTTGATCTCAAATTTAATCAAGAAATAAAATACAATTGTTTTGGTTTAATTAACCTCTAAGAAAATTAGTTACCGTGATACAAACCATGCACAATACATTTTTTCAATTCTTTTTTTTATTTTTTTACAACATAATCAGTAACAATAATAGATTTTGATGCATTAAAAATATGAGTTTAAAGGGAAATTTAATTTTGTTTTCAATAGCGGCTCATCAATGTAATATTCAGGGCTCGAAATGAGTCTTAAAGCTTACAGCAGATATAGTTTATGCTGGAAATTTTTTAATGCATATGGCAATAAAAAAATGTAGATTAATAATGAAACCTACTTCAAATGCTAAATTTTAAAAAAAAAGATAGTTCTAAAAAACAGAAGTATTTAACATATTTTTTAGAAAAAAAATACGAAAACTGTATTCATATAAATTCAATATATATTAAAAATTCCTTCAAATGGTTGATAATTTTCCTTTAGTTATTGATTATCCCCATCTATAATTAATTTCTACTCTTGGAGAAATGAAATGGAATAATATAAAAAATAAAGAAAGACAGCTTTTTACTATTTCATAACATTTTTACAAACAAACACTAAAAAATTTGGAAGATATTTTCTTTGTTCTGATTAACAATATTATAACTCAAACATAATAAACATGGTTTAATTCATTGCAAGATTATTTCTTTTCAAAATTCAACAATCAAAATTAATTAAAAATAATCCTCTTCCACATTTACCTGCATTCAAACAAATATTATATTTTTTAAAACATTTTTTGAGCTTATATTAAATAACTATGTGAAAAATAGTAAAACTGTTTAGTGTAAAAAGATAAAAAGCAGGGTACACAGGCCTATTAGCTATGTCGTTCTATACGCCCCCCTTTTTTTGTTCATAACAAAACAATGTAGCAACTTAAGTTAGTCAAGCTAAATAAATAATTAAGCTGAGCTTAAATGGTTAAATGATTACAGGTTGTCACAGCATTTGGTTCCAGCAAATAATATTTGCAGCCGTGCGAGTCATTTCGACCCCTGAAGTATCACAATAACACCATTAATTAATGCATCAAAAATAAAATATTAAACTCTTAAAAAATTATAACAAAATTAAAAACAATTAAAATAGCAATTATATTTGAATATATTAATACAATAATCATTAAGAAACACAATTTAAAATATGAAAGTTACTTAATAATAATTGTAAAAAATTTCGATGAACTGACCTGATCTTCATTTAAGAAGTTTGGTAATCCACCAATGAAAACTTTGTTTGGTGAGTCCTGAACAACTGTAGAAATAACACCTAAAGATAGAGAAAGAGACTTGAGTTTATATGGTCTAAAAAGTATTACAGCTACAACCCATTGTGGGCCAGGGAGATAAAGCTTCCTAATTGGTTATTGTTGACTTCATATTAGATTGATGCTTTAATGAGAATTACCAGAAGAATATGAGTTTATTTAATGCAAAAATTATGTTAAAAAATATTTCTTATAGATGATCAACTTTTTGGATAATCATGTATAGCAAAATTTTACTTTGATACAGTGTTATTTCTAGCCAGTACCAGTTTTGAGCAAAAGGTTAAGAAAAAATAATAGTGAGTCTTGCCTCGATATTTTAAAAGTATAAGAAAACTGAGCAATCATTCTTCTTTTAAATGAGCAAGTTTTAAATTATTAAAAAAAAGAAGATAGTGAAAAGCATAAGAATTGGGTGACATTACTTTTTGGATAAATTAAGCATCTACTATATAAAATACATTAATAAGTTCTGGTTTATGGATAATATGAATAAGTTCGATATATGGATAACTGATTCTTATATATGAATACCTGGAACAGCTGAATTTGGAATTTCTGACATTCCAGGAACAGGCTGATAATCATGTGGTCGACGGATTTTAAGACTTTGCCCCTTGAAGTTGATACCATCAAAAGCCATAGCTTGAGTTGTTTCATCTATAGACCTAAACTAAAATGATAAAAAGATTCAATATGCTACACTGCATAACACAAATACATACTACGAGATGTGGCAACTCTGGATGGTAAAAAAAACTTCAGCATTCCCAACATTTGTTTACTTATCAATAAAAACTGAATTATTAGATGTATCAATGAGAGAGCATGAATTTTGATGTCCTAAAGAGAATTCCATTGTTATTAGGACATAAGTGGCACAAAAATAAAAATTCAAATATTGTGTGTTTTTTTAACTCTAAATAAATAGTGTTTAAAATTTATAATTATTTTTCTATCAAATAAATTGTTGAAGTTTCAAATATGAAATTATGTTTTGCTGTTGCAGAGAAGATACTGGGTTAAAAATGTTTTCCTGTGAAATCTATGTTTTAAATCAAAAGCTGGAAATGCTTATTAAATTTTCTTATCTACAATGGTTTCGTGAAAATAAACTGAATTAACTGTGATTCTGAGGCAACTGTGAATCTTTAATTTTAATTATCCTAAAATAAAATATGGTAAGAGATAAATCAATGTTTTGAATTAAAAATAAAATCTATGATAAAAAATCTATAATAAAATCTAAGTTTCGTTATAGCATTTTCTAAAAATAACTTACTTCCAGAAAGGCAAAATTTTTGTCCAAATTTATCTGACAAGCTAAAATAGGATTGCCCTGAGCTTGTGAAAATCCACACACATGCATCTGAGCATTAAAAAAGTCCATCATTTCGTCCTTTAAGAAAAAGGAAATTTTAGAATTTATGTTATTTAAACAAAAACTATTAATCATTTTCTTTAAAACTAATGTGTGAATACTAAAGTTACTTCAGAGCATCCAAATGGAATGTTCCCAACATAAAGCCTTCTTGCTTGCCGAGTAACAGTACTACCAACAACAGGTACAGTACCAACAACCGGACCCTGAGTTGTGTAAATGCTAGGAGGAATTTGACCAGAACCTAAAATTAAGAAAAAGAAATAAATTTTTTAATCTACAAAAAAAAACCAATTGAAATTCTAGATGTTAATTGTACAACAAAAAAATTAAAAGCGAGTTCAATAAAAAAATTCAATTGGCACATAAGATAATAATTTTTCATTGAAGACACATCAGACATTAACTAATGATTAAATCCATTTAATGTAATCAATAAATTTTTCAGTGGTAACAAATTTTTAAACCTCAACAAGCATATATAACAGGGCTCGAAAAAACTCAGAAATTTTACCCGTCCCTGCGGACGGCTTGTCCAACAATGCACCCGTCCTCCGTTGAAACTAATCCGTCGCTTTTAAATAAATAAAAATANGTACTCAGAGATATCTTTTAAGTAATCAAGAATTGCAAACATGCACATAAAAAAAATTCATTTGAACATTAATTAAAAGATCCACCCAAAAAAATTTTCTACATATGGCTGTTTTGTTTTTCTTTTTAATTATTAATTCAAATTTAAGTTTCAAATGGAAAAAACTTAATACATTTTTAGTTAACATTTTTTAAAAGTGATTCAGTTATAGTAGAATGGTAATAATTTGAGTTCTGCTTAAATGGATAGGATACTACTTGTGTGTGTTTTATAAAAATAAATGAGAAAGCTCTTGCCAGATTGAACATTTAGACAATCGAAAAAAAATAATACATAAATGATGGTTAACATAAATTGGTAATAGATCTTGATTACACATATGAAAATTATATAATCGAGATCTATAATAAATTAAAATTGTAAATACAATTGCAAGGAAAAGCAATTACCCAAGAATGTAATTTGTAAATCAAATGAATATGCATATTTATACAATATGCCTTGGAGAGAGGGGGAAAACGAAGACTTACCTAAGTGTTCTTTTAAGAATAACATAAAATGTAGTATACATCATGTCAAAAAGTGATATTATAACAGGCAGAGATATTGCTTGGATTATTTTCAAGTGGTGAAAATTTTCCTTGACTTTTTTTGGAAGTAAAAACAATTACAATAAAAAAAAAACAATTATAATTACAGAAAAAAAGCAATTACAATTACAGTAAAAATAATAACAATTCAGGATAGTAAAAACAATTACAACATAAATTGCAGAGACCAATTTCAGGAAGAAAACAAAGTTACCTTTTTGCATGAAATTGAAGATGACAAACAGATGATTACTGATAGACTATTTTTTTTTGTTCATATTTGGCACAAGATATTTTGAATTAAAAAAAAAAAATTTAAACAAAACACTTTATTTACCTTAAAATTTCAATAGCATATACTTTTTTCACTTCATATAATGATACAGAATAAACTAATAAGAAATTAAAAACAATATTCAATTCTTGAATTAAAGTCTTTGCTTCGACATTCAAGTTAATATTTCTAATTGTCTTTCAGTCAATTTCACTAACCACTTTTTTTCTTTGGTTTAGAATTGAAACTCCTGTTTCATATATCTATATTGCTGACAAGTATATTTCTATAATGGACNAAAACGAAATCCCCAAAAAAGCACCTTTAAGTACTTTTTACAAACGCTACGCACCCTGAATATGCATACTTATATAATATGCCTTGGAGAGAGGGGGAAAACGAAGACTTACCTAAGTGTTCTTTTAAGAATAACATAAAATGTAGTATACATCATGTCAAAAAGTGATATTATAACAGGCAGAAAAACAATTATAATTACAGAAAAAAAGCAATTACAATTACAGTAAAAATAATAACAATTCAGGATAGTAAAAACAATTACAACATAAACTGCAGAGACCAATTTCAGGAAGAAAACAAAGTTACCATTTTGCATGAAATTGAAGATGACAAACAGATGATTACTGATAGACTATTTTTTTTTTCTTTCATATTTGGCACAGGATATTTTGAATTTAAAAAAAAAAATTAAACAAAACACTTTATTTACCTTAAAATTTCAATAGCATATACTTTTTTCACTTCATATAATGATACAGAATAAACTAATAAGAAATTAAAATCAATATTCAATTCTGGAATTAAAGTCTTTGATTCGACATTTAAGTTAATATTTCTAATTGTCTTTCAGCCAATTTCACTAACCACTTTTTTTCTTTGGTTTAGAATTGAAACTCCTGCTTCATATATGTATATTGCTGACAAGTATATTTCTGTAATGGACTTTGATGTAAAAGAGATGCATCGATTTGGTTGGCGTTTCGGGCAGCGAAAATGAAATTGTGTTAATTCTAGAGGTATGATTTTTTTTTTTTGTTAATTTTTATTAAAAATACTAAGAGTGAAAATATGCCTGATTAATTTATGTAGGAGTATTTCCTATGTTCAATGAATGGAATACACATGTAGAGGAGTAAAAAATAAATGTGAAAGTAGGGCACATGTTTTGTACTTGACTTTAAAAACTAAACAATAATTCATATGCAATAACTTTTTAAGATAATTTCTTTTAAGAAAAGAGTTTGAAGAATCGAAATCAAAAACTATTTAAAATTTGAAATGAAAATATTTGAAAATAAAAATTATCTACAGTAGTATTTGACATAATACAAAAAATTTTGAAATGTAATCTAACACAGTGTTGATCAAATGAGTAAGTATAAAGAAAAAAATATATATACAAGGCTATGGCAAGAGCAATATTAAAGTTTTATTTACTTTTTATATTTAAAAAAAATTGAAACTTAGATTTGTGAAAAAGAAACAATTTTTCAAAGTATACTTACAGTTGAACATCATTAATGTATAATGGAGGAACCTAATACAGAACTTATCAACTTTTAAATTGTGAATTCTTTCATTAAATTTTTTACACAGGAAGCAAAAAGAAACTTGGGAATATGAATCATCAGTATAAAACGTTTTTTGGAAAGCATTAACTTCAAAAAAAAAACTAAAATTTATGGAGAAAAAAAAAATTTGTATCAAGAAATGTTGAAAACCATGTATAAGACTATGGTATTTATTCATTGCTTGATATATCATCTTACACCATTGCGACATGAAAACAGAGCACTGAATTCACGTATTGAGAGATGCGTACGTAAAATCAATAGAGTAATGAGTAAAATATAATATCTAGCAATCTATACATTTTCCAAATAAAAGTCTTACATCAGGGTTGAATTTTCGGCAGATTTGCTTAATGGGCTCACTACTTAGGTCACAATTGTGAAGCACAGATTTTACTTCACCTTTTAACATCTTCAAAGATTATTACTTACCAAATTCAAATATTAATAGATTTAATTATTCAAAGATTATTACTTATTATTAAGTTTCATTACTTATTTAACAAAAAAATTAGAGAAATTTAAAAATAATCACTCTTTTATTCGTAACCTACGACTTGAACGAGTAATTAGAATAACACTGATCTATGTTTAGCTATTTAGCGTTAAATATAAAACATTATCTCTTATTTTATAATTTGTCTTCTGAATTTAAAACCCTCTTTTAAGCCACTTATTGTGTCCCAATAAGGTCTTTAATTACAATAACTTTTCTTTACAGTCTGACAAAATCTAGACATCAGTCTTTTATCACATTTAATCAAGTAGTTTACGAGCAATATGACTATGAAAAGTTCCCACAATTGTATAAACACAAGTCTAGATTTTTTTTTTTTTTAAAGCTTTAGAACAGTTATGAATTGAAAGTGAAATGGCATTTTTAGAATGCAAACATTTACAAAACACACACTGATTGTACTCAAAACAAAGAAATCTGATTGTTTTAGGATACATCAGATTACAGATCAAATAAACCATTAATACAAAGTTTGTAAAACTGATGAGAAAAAAAAACTTATTTAACCATGATATTAAAAAAAAAATGCTGAGAATTATTCATATATATAAAAAAAAAACAAGAAAGAAACATACTCTGCATATCTTTATATTGTTGAGTAGATATGTGTTCAAAACCAGGTGCAGGAACATCCCAATATAAAGACTTCTTTCTTCTTCGAGGAACGCGTTCATTGCGGCTAAAATTAAACAAATCTTAAATTAATTAAATAGGAAACATGCACATTAATCAATGATTGATTGAATATACAATTTAATGGAAAAAAAGGATATCAAATTCAAATATTCCACAAAATTCGAATGGTAGATAATTAGGATAAAGAGTTTAAATAGTCTGAAATCAATCCAAATTTGGCACAAAAATTAGGAAACAAACAAAACAGATTAGACAATCAGTGAGATAAATTAGGGTTACAGGACTTGTCTTCATTATAAGAAAGTACTGAAGTGTTAAGGACATTTAATTAATGAATTATTAAAAATTTAAAATAAGTTTGAAATGTAAATGTAATGCATCAGGCCATTACTACTTTCCAAAAGCTTTTAACACTAAAACTTTTAATTTCATCACTTTCTTTCATTATTGACAATTAACAGGGATCTGTCCAGACATTTTGTGAAAAAATTACTCACATTCTTTCAACCAGGGTCCTGCTTTTATGAATTTGTGCAAATAGGGTCCGGTTATTGCAAAAAACTTTTTCAAGGAGTTTTTAAATTGTAAATAGATACAAGATTATGCTCAGCACTGTAAAATTATAATTAAAAAAAAAAGTTTTAAAAATAAGCAGCAATTGCTGCTTCTAAATTAGAAATGCAACATACAAATATTTGGTTTTTAGTCTATACTGCTGAACGCAGAATATTCATTTTGGACGAATAATGGAAGAATCGTCTGCCTAAGACAAAACTTAATTCGTTTACCTCCATCTTTCTTGTTTTCTGCCCTGGGAAGGGTTTATTCAATTAACAAAANAGCCCGTTCATAAATCACACTTTTTTCAATATTTTTGACCCCTTTATTTTCGTTTTCACAAAGCGTCAGGCTTCACCAAACAGTACTCAGGGGTCTGTCCAGACATTTTGTGAAAGGTCCGTTTTTCGTGAAATTGTGAAAAAATTACTCACATTCTTTCAACCAGGGTCCTGCTTTTATGAATTTGTGCAAATAGGGTCCGATTATAGCAAAAAACTTTTTCAAGGAGTTTTTAAATTGAATTGTAAATAGATACAAGATTATGCTCGGCACTGTAAAATTATAATTAAAAAAAAAATTTAAAAATAAGCAGCAATTGCTGCTTCTAAATTAGAAATGCAACATACAAATATTTGGTATTTAGTCTATACTGCTGAACGCAGAATATTCATTTCGGCCGAATAATGGAAGAATCGTCTGCCTAAGACAAAACTTAATTCGTTTACATCCATCTTTCTTGTTTTCTGCCCTGGGAAGGGTTTATTCAATTAACAGAACAATAATGAAGATAAACAAATTTGTGAATGGTTTGATTAAAAGAAAAATAATTTTGTGAAGGGTCCGTTTTTAAGTTACAATATTTTGTGAAGGGTCTGTTTTCATGAAAAGATATTTTGTGAAGGATCTGTTAACAGATCCAAATTTCTTCTAAACAGATCCCTGATTAAGAAAGCAAGCACATAAAAGCTACACTGGCCAACTTTTACGCTTTTCAAATGTTTTTTTTTTCCGTGGTAGGGAAATGCATATTCCATCCGAGATTATAAGCTGGGTTCAATAAAATTACCCCACACTTGTAAGCATTTTAAGAAAGCCAATAAGCATAACATATATATGTTTAAAATATTGAAATGCATAGATTATTGATTGTCAAAATCATTCTATACCATATTTATTCTAACAAGAATACATAAATTTGGCTACCAAGAATTGGCAGGCATGAAAAACATGCTTTAGTATCAGCTTTAATTCAATAAGTGGACAAGATACGGTTTGGATATTTATTTTATTATTCAAGTTTATTGCCTCAAGAAGTCTTTAAGACAAGCATAATACACAGGGTAAAAAAAAAACTTAAAGATGTACTTAAAAGTTGAAGGAAAAAAATTTTTTACCTTATAACTAGTCATAATACAAAATCATATAAGCCAACACAAATTCTTATAAATCTAAAAAATTCACTAAAAAATTTGAGAAAAAATAAATTAAAATATAAAGGATTTTACACATTATAAATTTTTATTCCTTATTCAAAGTTTCACCAATAACAATAGTACAATACTAAGTACCAAAAGTAGAATATAGTGTTTCACATGTGAAATATAATGTTTAAACACAATCAGCTCAAATAGATCACTGAATAAAAGAAAAATATTTCTTTTTGTGTGCTCTCAGATGCTTATTTTATATTTTGCATTAATAATGTCTAACACAGCAATTCAATTCAACATCACGAAACTAACATCATCTTTATAGCAAAACGCTATCTACATCTCTGCAGCAAGACAAAATTAAAATCGTCTTCGTCGTTGCGGTAACAACGCTAGCCTAGTCAAGGATCCTTGCATATTAAATAGTTAAACCGCGATTGTAGCCTTATTCCGGCTGTTTAAATCAAATTTCTGATGCATCGATTAAAACGAAAGTCACTACATTGGCCTGTCCTATCTATGCTCCAATTCTAAATGCATACCTTTTTATATTTGTACACAAAAGTTTTGTACAAATATAAAAAGGTATGCATCTTAGAAAATAGGTACCTAAATAAGAGTCGAATTACAATAAAATATTAATGTTAATAGAAGGAAAAAACAATTTTAAAAAAAACTGCCCCTCGGAGAGAAAAAATAACAAGTATACTTTATTAAATCTAATGGAAATTTAAATTTTTGGACATAATAATTGTATAAAAGTTAGCTTTCTTTTATTAACGTTCTGAAAAGTAACGTTCATTTATGCGAAAAAACTTCGCTAAGAGTAAAAAAGTCTCCTAATTGTCGCCTATTCCTGAAAATAGTTGCTTTTTTACCCTCTTCAGGCCAAAAAAGTCGCCATAGTCACCTAAGGCTGAAAATAGTAGCAAATAGTCGCATTTTTGTCGCCTGTGGCAACCCTGCTTAATCTTTTAAATAATTATCTTTGCTAAGTGTAAACATTGAAAATTTTAATAGGAATAACAAAAGATTTCATTGAGTCAAATCATTGAAACCAGTTTTTAAAAACAGAGTTTTGGAGCTGAAATATAAATAAAAATTGGGGAATTAAATAACTTTTCACAAAACATAAATACAATTTTTATTTAAATCTAAAATAACTACAGTACCTTCCTGGTAGTGGTCCTCTTCTTTCTCTGGAAACTGAACGCCTACGTTCTTTAGAACGAGATCTTGACCTTCTTCGTGCAGCTCTACCACGGGGAGAGCCAGATCGAGATCTTCGTCTATCACCCCCACGCCTCCTATCACGGTCCCAATCCTTATCTGAAATGAGGGAACATATTTAATATGCTATGTTAATAGCCAAAGGAAATTAGAATTACAATAAAATGCTTAAGATTTACCTTTGTCTTCACCCATTATAGTATGTTAGGTTCCTAAAAAAAAATACAGTTTTATGTTAGTCTTTGCTACCAAAGAAAAAACAAACAAGACTGTCAGTTTTTTTTCTTCTTTTTTTCCTATTTTTTAATTTGATTACCAATCAAATAAAGAAGAATTATCAAACATTAAAAGCAAACATATCACATGCACTGGTTTTCAAGAAACTGGGAAAAGTTGACCACAAGCAGTATTCTTTATCTTTTAAATAATGATTGTTGATTTAAACAGGCATGAGAACACACAATTTTAAAAAAAAGCTGAAAAAAAATTTTTAAATACAAATTTATGATTTTTACATTAAACATCCATTTGAGAATATATTATGCAAGAAGCAAAAAGTAATTCATGAAATTCTGAGTATTTTAAAATAAATTTTATTTAAAATTTAATTATTTTTTTAATTTGTGAAATTTAACTTTTGCTGATGATCCTACACTAATATGAGACGAAATTCTTGACAGTTTGTGTCAATAAAACAGATCAAGTGGTAGCAAGATTTATATTATCTTTTCAAAAAATAGGATATTTTTATTAGATTTCATATAAACTTATTGTGATACGTAAAAACTAAAACGGTTGGTAAAATAAGAAAACTTGACTTTATCAATTACCACTTTAAATGATAGATACAGCCAGCATCAATACCTGTAATCGGCTGTAAATGTGTTAAACATACTGATAAAACTTAACATGAGCGAAGTCAACTTTCAAGGTATTGAGTAACTGTCAACTTTCACTAACTTTCTAATAAATACTACATTTTATCAATTTCTTTTACTGTCAATAACAGTTTTGGTAGTAAATTGTACTAATAATGTAGCATAACATACTGCTAATTCCTAATTTATGCATTTGTATAATCGTTTTTTGACCCACTCGATTAGTGGTTATTCCATATTGAATCTCAGAGGTTTTGACTATCATTTTTTTGGTAGTTCCAAATTTTCCAAATTCATTGATGTTCAAACACGATTTTATTTCATTTGATGAACTTCAAATTATTAATTTGAAGAATCACATTTTTACACACTTGATAAATAACAACCCACACAACTTTGGTGATCAGATTTTAAAGTAATTGAACATCAGCAGATTTATGCAGGCAGAATGAAATCAAACTGTAAAACTAAAAAAATTATGTATATTAATAGCAAAAGAAGAAAATGAAATAATTCTGAGTATCAAACTACATTGTTGATTTTTTTTTTCTTCGGTAAGTGCTAAATTAGTTATAATTAAAAACTTTGATTTCAAATATTAACATCAATCGTTTTTTTCCAAATATTGTTGAAGCAGTATTTGAGAGTACAAATCTTATAATTCACGAAGAATTTTATAATTATTGGAAATTTAGAATATTTTAAATTATTTATATTAATTCAAATAAAGACTGATTTTTAGTAAAAAAAAAAAAGAGAAAACTTGGATGTCTTGTGTTCAGGGTTGGGTTTTCAAAATGACGGAGAAAAAAACTGTGTTTTGAGTGGTAAAAACCTTTGTTAATTTACTTTTTACCTTATGCTACGGCCTGAATGACAATTAACAATTACTTTTTTCCTATTATGAATAAAATGTATGCAATTATTTTAATATACAATCAAATAGAAATTATTAAAAGTTGTGAGACATAACAGTGTATTGATTTGCGACAGTATACTAAAATGTTTCTCAAATTACAGCAGCTATATTTTTTGATATAGGTGGTATATAATCTTGAAATATTCACCCTGTGGCATATATTGACTTAGGTGTGCCTCCCTGCAAGGTTTATAAATGCACCGTATCTTAACTTAACAAAATTTTAAAATTATAACATGAAACAAAAAATATTTAAATTTAATTTATTTTAAATCTAAATTAATTTAATTTCGATTAATAATGAATTAATATTGCAATGGAAAGAAGGAATTTCGAAAAGGTACTAGATTGAAAACATTGTATCACTTACTTTTCATATTGAAATGAATTTTATAGTAATACAAGAAAATAACTAATTATTTTGCAATATTTTATTTAAAGTTAAGAAAGTAAAGGGTTTCTATTATTTACAAAATGAAAAATTTTTTTTTTATCCATATGGTGATATTGTTTCTTAGCATGCGCCTTTAAATCACATGCTCTGCCCAGCACTGTGGGGTGTTGTTTACGCCACTGTATTCAATCAAAACAAGATATTTGTAACAAAGGAGCTAACAAACTGAAGAACCTCTGCTACTTTATCCTATTTTAAAACTTTGATTTAAATGAAAATTTCCATCAATGCATACCACAATTGCATACAAAATGGCGTTTAATTAGTCATTTTATCAAGGCATGCAATATCAAAGGATTAATTATGCACATGTTTTGCTCCCTAGCTGTAAAAATACATAACATTTCATCAATAATCTTGAATCGTGTTTGTCAAATAAATTTAATTACTTTGTTGTTTACATTTTAATGTTTTAAGATACATTTTTTTATTTTAACTCGCTTCCTATGAATAAAATAAAAATACTAAGTACCAAAGATTTGAAATTTTAACCTGACAGTAAAAACTACCATGCACATCAAAAACTTTCTCTGCCTGGGACTTAGAGACCAATAATTTTATAATTCTAGCAAAATCACTACCCTCACCCTTAATCGAGACTTATCTGTGAATCTGATGTCAAAATTTCTCCTGAAAGCCCCAAAATACAACCTACCATGTATTTTTTTAGTTTCACAAGGGCCACTACCCTGAAATAACCATAACTTAACTATTATGACCTGCGTATTGATACAGAAATCTTGCTCCAAGTTTTTATTTATCGCAAGAACTATATTGAAAATTATTAAAGCTTTTATTCAAGGTCACATAATAATAAATAAAATAAAGTAAGGTTAGCTAGAAAATCCACATTCTGTTTGTCCAAAAGAAATAACTTACTATTAAGGGCAATATTGGAAATTATAACACACAATCAATAACAATGAAGGGAATAACTAAGTTCAATAAATCAGGTAACATTTTCATTAAAAATTTATTTACAGAATACAGTTAAAAAGAAGCACTGAAAACATTTCACGAATCTACATCATCTCTAATTTAATATACAAGCATAATTTCAATGCAAAATTCAAGCTATAATTTTCTATATCATTGCAGCAACAATATTAAACTATTTAAGCACATTTTGAGAGGCTGAAAACAGGGTTTACAAAATATTGATCGCAAAAAATTACTAAATAAACGATAAAAAAGGACCTTACGAGATCTTGCAACTATTTATTTTACTACATTATTAGAGCCTTCTTAGGTCCTACCCATAACAATTGTTATTTTTTGTTAGTTTTCAAGATTAACACCACGATGATTTATTTCGATCCCCTTTTTAGATATATGTAACTAATTCATAATTTACTAGTACTTGTTAAATGAAGAAGCATAATATATTAAATATAAGGCTTGATATAAAATGCACAAAAAGAGCCATTTGCTTTACCCTCGTAAAGATCGCATTATTGACTTAACACGAGAAATAGAAAAAATGCTTGTATTTACGGTATGTTTAATAAGATACAATTATAATAGTAATGCTTAAAACTTTACTTTACCTGAGAAATATAAAATAAAGTAAATATTCTTATGGATGTATTCTGCTACTTCAGTTTTTCCGGTGCGGTTAGAGAAAGATCAGCAATCTAAAGCCAGCTCAGATCAAATAAATATGAGATCGATGATTGGTTGTCGTATTATCCACTTAGTTAAAATTACACACAGTTTTAATGCTAAAAATGTAACTTTTTTTTTTTCGTTGCTGATACAAAATGAAGGTATCTTATAAGTAAGTATATTTTGAATAGTCGTTTTGTTTTAAATCATACAAAAAGTATGTTGTATTCAAAAGCATGAATTTCTACTTACTTCGGAGGAAGTTTTTGAAGAGCCAATCAAACTTCAAATCCCAGTAAGCTTATTACTTTCTTTAAACGATAATACAATGTGAAATATTCGTTGAGTTGTAGTAAGCTTCTAATTTTTTGTAAATTAAATTATTGCGATTCTATAAGAATGCGCTGTCTCGAATGCCGGACTCTTACCAACCCTATTGGCGATCGAAATGGTCTACAGGTGGCGTACAGCAGAACTCTCTACCTATAACAACACTTCACATGTTTTCTCCCGTAGCGTGTGGAGAGTCATAGGAAAAGGAAGTACATTAGTTTGATTATCAAATAGATGAAAAACTTTTAAGTTAGGAAACTACATGGTACTGAGAACCGCATTGAACATAGCTCCAAAAGAAAGTGTAGTGAAAATTTTAGAAAATATTTTTGACAGTTAAATCTAAAAAATATTAAGAATGGGGGAAATATCATTGCACATTCCTTGCAACTTAGAAGAGGAGAGAGAAGGGGGGAAAGTAAAGACATAGAACCAGTCTTCTCCCCAGATGGCGTATTCAAGCGTTGCGATCAAGAATACTTCAGCTGTCCACTGAAATTATTAATTATACCAATTTTATCGCCAACGAAATTTTATCGGTGACGGAATATTGAGCGGAAATGGTGGAAAAGTTTGAGCTGGAGTGATGAAACGAAATAACGAAGAAATGTATATTTTCTTGGAAAAAAAAGATCGACAAAAATATCTACAATGTTCTCAAGATCAAGAATACCTGTAATATTCTTGTTATTAAAATAAAATTATGACTTTGCGGGATATGAGTGTTGAATTATTTGCCGAATTAATTTTGAATGGCTTCTAGTGCGATGCCTTTATCAATGGGCCATTCATTGCAGTTACCTCACTGCTAATATCTGTCATTAGGTATGTATAGACGATTGAAATGGGCTACAGGTGGTATAGAGCAGAACTCTACCCATGGCAGGGGTGGATTAAGCGCACGTTAGGCTCTAGGCCATTCAAATTTTTGGGGCTCTAAGATTAAAATTTTATTTCATATATTTTTTATTTATTTAAATATAAAAGTATTTATATATCTTTTCATTTAAGAAAGCATATTTAAAATTAAAATAAATAATAATAAATTAAATTTTACTTTATTTCGTTAAATTAGAACTAAAAAAATTATCGTATTTTATTGATATAGATTTGAAATAGATTTTTCTTTTAAAAACATCATTGTTTTTCTTAATATTTTTTCAAAAATTTTTTTTAAGGAGGCCCTTAATCATTGGGGGCCAGAGGCCATGGTCTAGTGGGTAATCCGCCGTTGACCCATGGCTACACTTCGGATGCTTTCCCCAATAGCGTATTGTGAGTCATAGGAGAAGTAAGTACATTAGTTTCCGTTCTGATTTTCAAATAGATTAAAAACTTTTAAGTTAGAAAATTATATTGGACGGAAAACTACATTGAACATAGCTCCAAAAGAAAGCGTCGTGGAAATTTCAAAAAATTATTTGTGAGAATTAAATGCGAAAAATATTAAGAAAGGAGAAAATATCTTAAATCGCTATAGAAAATATCCTATGGAACTGAGAAGAGAAGGAGGGGGGAGGGTCAAGCCATAGAACTTGTCTTCTCCCTAGATAGCGAATTCGGAGCTTGCTATCGCGAAAATTTTAATCCCGCATATTCTTTTTTTGCATGTATTTTAATTTCGGTTGCATGGTATTTAATTGGGTATCTCTTTCATTAATTTATGCAGCATTATTATCGGATCGTTATGCTTTAATTTAAAGTATTTTTTTTTGTTGTTTAAACTCAAAACTATTTATTTGTTTGGTTTTTAATGATCAAATGCAAGAAATTTAAAGAATTTAATGTATTCACATCTTATTTTATTGCCTTTATTAAATTTTGGATGTTTCACATTTGTTAAAAGTTTTAGATTTTGCTTTTACATTTCTTAATATTTGTGAGGTACTGCTCAGGAAAACATTACTATTATTGATCTTTTTAAAATTGATATTACAATTTACAAGAATATTATGAAGGCGGTGTTGATCACCCTCACCACATTGGTGACCCGGACGTGATGTGAACACGCCTACCTTGACAGTAACGCCCATTTCGATGGATGGTCCACATCGAACAGTTGTCTTGCTACTTGTGACTGCGACATTATCCACCTCCTCGCACTGTTGCTACTCAGTCTCGTCTCGATCACTCACAACGTCGGCTTACATGCACTCGACTGCTAACGGCAACACAGGAGCGACTACGACCGTGAAGTTAATACACCTCTCACATTCAACACTCAAAAAAATACGGTAATCTTAATACAGCTCTCCCGGCTTCTCACAAAACAGCAATAAATCAACCAGTGGTATCCGTTCATCGAATTCTATCACAGATATAATTCTGGTGGGGGAGTACAGTAGCGTATCTACCACTACAAAATTACAACTACAATTCATTTGTATATAAGACATGTTAACTCGAGTTTATGGTGGGGTACCTTTTCATAGATGAAGGTTGACATTGTCCATAACAAACCTCACCGGCTTCGCTCTTATTGTCGGTTGATATTTTTTTTAAAAAAAGGAAAAGATTTAATTAATAATAATTATTGTAATTTGATGAAAGCGCATTTTACGAATATATTAATTACAACTGGATTCGAAAAATAATCAACTGTACTTGAAAAAATTAAAATAACAGAATATATGACACAATAAGAAGAAATTAAAGAAAAATAATTTATTCGTTAACGTTATATAGCGATGTCTTTTTTGTCACATAAATTTAAGAGGAAATTATTTTTATTCTTAAAAAAATTTCATTTTAATAAATTTCATTTTAATTAATTTTAATTATACAATTTAATCTTATTTAATTTGGAAAAAAAATTAAGTAAAAAAGTTAAAAATGTTCATAAATTTGTTGGAATAATTTTGTAATATTTTGCAATAATGGATCACAGCTTAGTAATTAGTTTAAACAATGTTTTCACTTGAAGAAATCCAGGATAAAATTATATAACATACCTATTAAAATAACGAAATTGTCATTTGGGAAAATCGAAATGGCCGACTGCTCTGAAAGTTTTTCTGAAGTTTGACAATCTAAGAACACTGGATTTAGAAGAAGAACTGGTGTACCATCCATTCCAAAGAGAATATTTACGGATTTTATTTACAAATTAACTTAGTAAGGCATACCATTTCTCTATTTTCCCCCTATCCACATGTGCATCCTCTACATCAGTGGGTTCCTGAACTGTTTTGTTTCGTAGACCTCTTGCAATGTTTTTCAGTTTTGGGTAGATTATATAATTTTCAAATGTATTTTTGACAGCTGGTATAGTGCTACTCACTGTGAACGGTTTAAATTTCTAATTGTAGTGAAGTGTAGTGTGAAAAACTTAAGAAAAAAAAACACATGTTAAGTTTATACGTTTATTAATTAAATTCAAACTTATTTAATTTAATTTATATGTAAATGGAATAAAATAGTGCACTATAAAACCCGCACTCAGCTACTAATATTATAATTGCGGGAATAAGTTTGTATACAAAACCGTAGTAGTGTATTGTCGGTCTGTTTATTACGTTTTCACGTAAAAACTAAGCAACAAATCTCCGTGATCTTGAGCGCAGATAAAATTGGAGGTCTAGCTAGCTAAAGAGTTGACACGGGCTGGGCTACAATTTACCGAGGAAAAATACTTTTTTGTTACAAAATAAAACCTTACACGCAGAGAAAATAAAAACGTTGTATGGGCGGAGCTGCAGGCAACTGCTAGTTTATAATAATTCAGTTTCATATATCAAAAAATAGTCCTAATAACTTAAATTTTAATAAAATTTTTACATCATAGCAACTTATATAGATTATGTAGTTAGGTAGATATATGTCTTTATATTATGAGGTACGTAGTGTAATGTAAGTAAATAGGTACTATCAGTGTAGGTTGATTATTCCATTCATGAAATGCCAAAATTAAAAGTCGCGACCTGTTTACATGAGATCCATTATCGTTGACCCCCATTTTCATTTCATGGACCCCCAATTTTTTTTCACTTGACATAGACCCCTTGCAGGTTGTCGTCGATCCCTGGGGGTCGATATAGACCACTTTGGGAATCACTGCTCTACATCAATTAAAAAATGAGATTTATTCACGTTTCTCTGTTTCTTTTTTTTCTTTTTGTATAAATGTTAATTTTCAAAAATAATTAAAAGTGTTTAGTTAAATATCAATCGTAATAATTATAAACTTTGAAATATAATTATTTTAATTAATGAATTATAATACTACTACCTTGCGCGCATCCATCTTCGGGCCAATCCTTGGTAACCAACAAATCAAACGCGTACTGTTCTGCAGTAATAACTCGCCATAAAAATCCCTCTATTTACACTTCTAACACCATCTACACTTCCGTTTTAATATTTTGTATTCTGGCAATCATTCTTGAAAGATTCCGGTACGAAAATGAAGAAATGTGGCCAGCATTGCGAACGGGCAGGCCTGAGGATCAGACCGCAGTTCTCCGCTTCAGGTTAGAGCCTTATTTAATGATCAATCGTTGCTCATTGACTAGATAACTAAGTATAAATTCATTAAATCAATATTATAGTAATAGAAAAAATTAATATATTGTGAATGTGCTAGCAACAAAACGTACTTTTTTTTTTTTATTAAAGCAAATGAATTGCATACTTATTTATGATTCGATCAAATTCGAAATCTCATTCAAAAAAATAAGAACTGTCCCCCTGTTTTTTAAAAGATAAGTTCACGATGTCTCTGTCATTAACATTATTGTTAAGTAATTTAACTTCATAAACTTTTGTCAAATAGTTTTAAACATTAAAATTGCAATTTGAAAGCTTATGTTTTTCATATTGAGAGAAAAAAATAATGCAGACCTTTAAAAACCTTCTCACTTACAAGCATTCTCCCCCCTGTGCCCCTTACACCAGTATAAAATGTTCAAGATCAGCAGACAAAGAAACAACAAATTCCTAAAACAATTCCTCACCACTTTTTTGCCCCGGATTGTCACTCACATCCCCTCTTTCAAGATTAAACAAGATATTCAAGAACGAGGTAGTAGTGGTTAATTTACGTCGCACTAGAGCTGCACATTGGGCTATTGGCCACGATCTGGGAAACATCCCTATAGGGATGATCCGAAGACAAGCCATCACAATTTTGATCCTCTGTAGAGGGGAAGGCACCCCCGACCCAGCCCAACTACCTGCACGCGAAGTCGAGCACTTTACTGTGGAACAGTTTAGCGAGGACCAATACCGCACACCCTCGATCCCTACACAGACTGATCCAAGTGGTCACCCACCCGCATACTGGCCGCAGCCTGTGATGCTTAATTTCGGTGATTTGCCGGGAGTCGTATCTTAATGATCAGTCCACTGCGGGGCACAACGGTAAGCAAGAATGAAAACCAATCAAGAACGAGGAGGGAAACAAATTTGGAAATTTATTATGTTCGCCAACGAGGGATAGATATGCCAAATGTTTCAAATCAGAAACAAGGATAAAGCTTTAACGATGAAAACGATGATAATAACAGCCAATCAAATAGGCATATTTGATTATAAATTCCGTCAGGCCAAGCAACAGCCATCTTGAAAAATAAGTAAAAATTTATTTAATTTCTTGTTCACATGTACTTAATAAATAAATAACTAATTGACACATTGCATTAACACATGCTAAAGAGAAATTAGTAAAATTAATTTAAAAAATTTAGCCTTTTTTGGGGGGCAAAACAAGCATTAATTTTTTAGCAGACAAAAAATCTTTAACTGTTTATCTAGGCCTGTTTATTATTATTAAGAGGCAAACGAATTATCCTCTATTCTTGAATTTAATTGAATTAAAAATACTCTTAATTTAATATCAAAGCGTCATGATGTGTATAATATAAATATTTAATTCTTCCAACCGTTATTTAATTCGATTTAGTTTTTCTTCTTTTCAACTTGAAATTTTATTTTTATTTTTAAACTTATCTGACTGAAATATTGGTCGGCCTTCTGGTGAGTATACACTAGTTTATTATACAATCCTTTAACTTTTGCATATTTTAAAATGTTTATTACTTGTCGTAAGTGTAAAATAACCTTTTAACTTACTAAAACTCATTTTTCTAAATCGTTCTCAATTTTATTACTAACTTAAACTTATTACTCAAACAGTTCCTTCATTATTTGAAAATACTATTAATTGCTACCTTTTGTAGTCCCAAGTAACACAAATACCTATACAGTATCATAATGAGATCAAGTAAATTTTACAATGTTGGAGTGATATTAAAATATTTACTAATTATGTATTTTGCTTGGGGTGATAAACTAAATTTTTATGACCATATCTTATGTTTCTCCGCAATTGTAATAAAATAAGGGGAATAAAACAAAAAGAAATGCTTATTTTATAATGAAGTGCTTGAATGAGACTTTATAATTTTATTTGTTGCATGTTATTTAGTTTCATTAAGGTGCATTAATATTAGCTTTGCTCAAGGGCAACCACAGAACTTTTTGCAAGGGGGTGTAACCAAGAAAAATATTCATTATAATATTTCAAAATAAATTGTTTTCTTTTAGTGTTCTTTAAAAATATATTTATAAGTATTTGCCATTTTTATATTTGTACATCTAAATTTTTTTGCAAGTTTCATTCAATAATTAAATTTAAGCTACTAAACCAATAACTTATGACAAAAACTTTAACAATCTTTGTACTTTTCTATTTTTTTGGTGCAGGTGATGCTGAAGTTGCTAATGCGAACCTGCTGAGTGCAAGTAAATTTAACTTCTTTTTTTTATTATTTATTTTTAAATGAAGTTTTTTTTAAAAATAAATACATAGATAAAATAGCCGAAACTGCTTGCGCTGCCAAAATGGAAAAGTACCAAATTTTTTAAACATTAAAATTTTAATGCCGGAAAAAATGGTAAAATTTACAATTTGGTGTCTGTCTTATTTTGGCAATTTTTTAATTCTTACAGAAAACTGAAAATGATTTTGTGTAAAAACCAATTTACTATGATAAATGATTTTGTGTAAAAACAAAGTTACCAATTATGAATTATAAAGCTATTTTAAATAAATAAACAATTATGTTTTATTATTTAGGTTCACTTTTAATTTTATGTCATAAACATAAGCTAGCTTTTAAAGATGAAAAGAGGTTTGTTTGAGATGCTTTGTTTTTCCCCAAAAAACTTTTTTTGTTCTAGCTTAGTTTTCAACTCTAAAATCATTGATAGCATCATCTTTAGTGTACTGTGACTGCAACGTGAGGTTGAATCGTCATAAAGAGCCTGGCACAAATATTTTGAATAAATTTTAATTGACATATTTGTTTTGTTAAATTCTTTCTTTTGATATTTTTTCGCATTCACTTATTTGACCATTTCCACATTTGGTGTAGATGTTTGCCCGGTCGCTGGGAGAGATTTTAATGGTCTCTCCTAAAGGTTTTTTTCAACACAAACTGTATAGAAAAATTCCGTGCCTTCCAAAAGTGATCGTAAATAGGAGTGGTCTTTTCCGGAGGTTTCACTGTATTACTTTTGCGTACACCAAACAAAATATTTAATATTTCTTGATGATTTGTTTATTGAATTAAATAAANGAAATCTTATCATTTAATGATAATTAGCGTTATCTTCATTTTTTGTAAAATTTGTTCAAGAATCTTACTAATGTCATTTTTATAGTATATGGTTTAATTTTGTTTACCATCTTTTTTTCCCCATAGTTGCAGAATTTGATGGCTGGAAAAAAGAATAGACCTCCTAAGTTGAAGTTTAATGAAGATGTCAGTGTTCCAACACCTGTGTATGATTTTTTTATTTTTTTTAAATATTTTTTTACGGTTATTTTCAGATGAATAAATATTCTGTACTCAGAAATTTATTAAACTTTAAGTTTACATGTGAGATAAATAATTAATTTTATTATTAGATATTAAATAATTATTCTATTAATACAGTTTTGGTTTCATTAAAATAGGTTGAGTATGTAGATCAAGGTATATTAAGAAAATATAGTCTCTGATTTATTAGACCAGTAACTAAAGTATGCTACTAGTCAGTACTTATTTTCACTGGTCTACTTGCATATTTACATTAGTTTTCTTAAAAATATTTTTTTCTTAATTAAGCTTACAGGGTTCTCACGAGTCAGGGAAAACAGGGAAAACCTGGAATTGTCAGGGTATTTTATTTTAATTCCAAAAATCAGGGAGTAGTCAGGGAAAGTTGCAATTTTTTTTACAAAAACCTGGAATATTCCCTATATCATACCTGGAAAATAGCCAGTCTTAAAATTGTCAGTAAGAGTAACCAGTTATTGAGATTTGAGTTAATTAATTCTAACATCTATTGCAATTATTTTTTGTAAATATTTTCCATTTTAGTCAAACTGAAATGTTTCCTTCCTTATTTAATAATATTTTTTTTTTTACACCGAAAATCTAATGTTTCACATAACAGATAAAAGAATCAAAGTTTTTTGATAAAAATGTAGTCGCAATTTTCATTGAAATTTACCTAGTATACCTGGAAAAGTCAGGAAATTTTTTTTTTGTTGAAATTGAGTGGGAAAACTGTGCTAACAAAGTGAATTTAAATAAAAAAAAAATTATAATACAGAGAATGTGCAATGTTTCCAATTGGGATAAAATAAGCTATTTTATCACAAAAATGCAAACCAAAATGTATAACTAAAAATCACACATCCAAATCAGCCCCTTACATTGATTGCTAATTCTAAGGACTTCTGATAATATAATTTCTGGAAGTCTAAGTCAAATTTTAGTGGTCCTGCACTAACTTACCATTATTATTTTCAGACTTTGTTGTATTTCACGGTGCAGACTTAGAGGATATGAAAAACTTTCTGTAGAAACAAAATCACGATTAAAAAGCTTTCTCATTGAAAACATTCTCACTGAATGCATTGATTAACTCTTGTAACTAGTTTCAACCCTTATATCGCCATCTGATTTTGGCAAAATTCGTTTGAAAATCACTCATTTTTTAAAAACTGTTTAATTTTTAGAGAACTCTAAATTGATTCATACCACAGGGATAAGTTTGATAAAAAACCAAAACCCAAAAAACTGAAAATGTTATGTGCAAACACACTTTTTAAATAATTGAAAAAATACTTGAAATTTGATTCATAACACAGGGATGAGTTTGACAAAAAACCAAAACCAAAAAAACTAATAATGTTATGTGCAAACACACTTTTTAAATATTTGAAAAAATACTTGAAATTTGAGCAAGAAAAAAGTGTATGTAGGATTTGTTTACAGAATGTTATCAACATTTTAATAAAAATATCAGTGTAAGATTTTATTTGTTTAAATTGTGTGAATATGAATCTCAATGTGTGGTTTTTAAATCACCTGTATAGGAATCTCTATGTTCCATGAATGCAATGTATATTAAATGCATCAAAATTTTCAGTAAAATAAATTTCGTTTTAAAAGACTTTTTTAAAAAAAGATTGATTTCATACCCACTTTACCATACCCGACCCTATAAGTTTACCTCTAAATTCATACTTGTTATCAAGCAAATTAACCAATTAAAAATTAGTGTGAATTAGAATAATTTAAACAAGTACTTCTGAGATTTTTTGCTATCATCATTTATAATAAAATATAATTTAAACCTTTTAAAATAATACTGCAAATGAAAATTACAAGTGCTTGAAATCAACACAGATAACACATTTTAACATTGTCAAATTAATAGTGCCAACGTAAAAGATTATTGATGTGGTGTAAGAAATTTTATTTTTGCTGTAGTAAAGTTTTACCAGTATTTTAAATGCATTTCATTCCTTGTGTTTACATTTTCACTCATTTTTAAATTTTTTAAGCCTAGTATTATGTTTTATTTACAGAATATATATATTTTTTTGTGTGACCAAATTACTGGTTACTGAGACGAATCCCAGCTTTATTGTAATTAGGTTTTAAAAGTTCATGTATATTCAGGAAATATAATAACTAAACCAAACATTACAAGATTTTAGTTATCTATATAAATAAAAGACATAACTAAGTTAGCCTTAAATTATTTTTAACCTGTTTATGATTAAGCATTTAACTATTGTTAAAAAAATATGGGTTATGTGAAGTATTAGCTTTCTCATGGAAAATGATGTGGTATGAAGAAATATTGAAATGGAACACTTTCACAAAACTTCAAAAAAATTAAAAGATAAATAAAAAATAACAATAAATAAATAAATAATAATAATTACTTTTGAAAACTTGGTACTTTTCAGTATATTGGATCTTAAAGTCAAATATTTTTTATTGATTTATTTTAGAGTTCCACCAAGAAATTTGGACACTCGAACTACTATTACGATTGCTGACAGAGTATTTGAAGTAGCTGCTGATGACTTAGAAACTATATGCGAGTTGGGCCGTGGAGCATACGGTATTGTAGAAAAGATGCTGCACAGGCCAAGTCGAACTGAAATGGCAGTTAAAGTAATTTCAATATTTTTTTTGAAAATTTTTTTACCATGTGATAGTTACAAAAAAGAGTTGGAAAGTGATATTTTTTTATTTATACTTGTTCCAGAGGATCACAGCTACAGTTAATAATGAAGAGCAAAAAAGACTTTTAATGGATTTGGACATATCCATGAGAAGTAGTGATTGCCCATATACTGTTCAATTTTATGGGGCATTATTCCGAGAAGTAATTATTCTTTATTTATTTTATTTATTTATTTATTTTTAATTTTAATTAAATGAGTTTTGCTGTTGGATTGAAGATATAAGTGTAGATAAGTGTAAGTAGCCTAAAAACAGAGAGGAAAAAGTCTGACAATTTCATTAATTTGAAAAAATCAGGAAATTTAATTGAATTAAAGGATCATTAGGAATTAATAATAAAAGATTGAGGTACCTAAATTTCTAATATTTTTCCCGAAAGAATTAGTACAAAGTCTTGAAAAATATTTTCTGATACACAATTTATTCAATTTATTAATTTATATTAATTAAATAGATATCTATTAAAAGTTTTTTGCCATCAATGTTTATTATATTTGTAAAGATTTTATCGTTTTTAAAATAGAATTTTGGGATAAAAATTTGATTTAAATTTTATTAAAAAAACAGTATTTTTATTAAAATTAGAATTTTTTTTCTTAAATATTACGAAAACAATTACAGTACAGGACCTGTTATCCGGAAATCAGAAAACCGGAAAACCAAAAAACTGGAACGAAATTAGATAAATTTTCCCGCCATTTAAAAAAAAATTTTTTTTTTTTCCTCATAAGATTTTAGGATTTTTCTTTCTTTTTTGAAAGATGTTTACCTTACCATCATTTTGGAAATAATCATTAGTGTATTACTTCATCGTTTTTTCTTCTTTTTAAGATTATTTCCAAATTTTTTTTTTTTGTTGGGTTCAACAATTTAAAAAAATAGCTTTTTGTAGCGATTCAGAAAACCGGAAAAAACAGTTATCCGGAATAGCGATGGTCCCGATCGTTCCGTATAATCGCTTTCCTACTGTATTTCATTTCAGATATTTATATTAATTGACAACAAATATTTTCCACATTCTTAGCTATAGCTTCTTAAGTATTAGTTACGACTTTCACAGTATTAGATATGAGCTACTCTTATAGTATTTTTTTTCTGTTATAAGTAACAGTCTTAAATAAAATGTTTATTATATATTTTTAAATTTTTTATTTATGTTTTTATCTATCTAAATCTTGTCATGTAGGTAATGTGCTTTTATAGTTTATTCTTCAGATATTTTTCTTTCTCAAGTTTCTTTTCAGCTTGAAAAGCAATAAATTTATCAAACAATGTATTTGATGTACATGAATTAGACAGAACTAAAAAAGTAATAAAATTTATGTCAGGAATTATAAAAACCAGGGAAATTGGCCAAAATCAGACAAGAAAAAATTGGAACTTTTTACTCTCGATGATTGAATAATTTTATAGTATAAGTGAGTTACTTTAAATGCAATAATAATTCAAGGTTATTTGAAAAAAAAATTAAAAGTGTGAAATATATTTTCTTTAAGGATTGTTTTGTGAATGAACCATTCGAAAAAAGTAATTAGTTGACAATTTTTTTCTTAAATTTTTGGAATATTATAGTGGTTTTTGAAGCACATTTATTAAAATTTCAATTTCTTTTGACTACTTATTTGGCAAATGTCTTTAAATGCAATTGATTTGTAAAATCAGGTTAATTTCGTTTGGTAGTTAGGGTGAATTTATTTGAAAACCATATCTTCATCTTTCTTACTTTTACTTTGTGCAGGTATTTGCTTTCAACTGCTTTACTTTTTTACATTCTGATTTGAATATTTTTATTTTATCAAATTTAGGGTGATGTCTGGATTTGTATGGAAGTTATGGATACATCTTTAGACAAGTTTTATCCAAAAGTCAAAACAGCTGATGAAACTATTCCTGAAGAAATATTAGCAAAAATTGCATTTGCTGTAAGTATTTATTTATCACTTGCCAATTTCTTTTATATGCTTTATTATGTAAACATATGTTTGAACAACTATTTTATTTTCAAAGGGATTGTACAAGATAAAATCAACTGTCAATGCTATTTTTAATTTTGAATTTACGTTTGTTAATTTTTATATACTGTAAAAATTACAGTTACAGATTCATTTTGCCAGAAAATGATCAGGAAACTGGGTTATAAAAGATATAATTATTGATAGGAAAATATTTTATGGTATTTCTAACTATACTGGTAGCTAAAAAAGACTGATATTTTAAATGGAAAAATTGTGTAATTTTTAAAAAAATTGTGCGTGCTGAAGATATTACTCATTGCCACTTATTCTTTCATTTTTATCTTATAATTTTAAAGTGAAAAAAAAAATAGTACTTGCAAAGTTTGTGTGTGACACACTTATATAGTTGAAACAAAACTTCTGCTTATTTCTGCACTTAAAAGAAGTGAAATCTGACGAAGAAAAATTGTTTTGCAATTATATATTTACTAGATTACCAGGGCCATCTAGTAAAAAACATTGTTGACTTAAAAAAGAGTAAAATATGAGAAAATTAGTGGTTTAAGAAAATGTTTATTGAGTGGCTTTTAAGGCATATAAAATGATATTTGGAAAAAAATGGGGAAATAGTTTAATGTGTGTCATAGGCTCAAAAGTTGTACATAATATAATAATTAAGAATTACAAGTCTGTGAATTTAAAAAAAAAATCATATTGAAGTTTAAATAGATCAAAAAATATTGGAGTTCATGTTTAAAACTCAATTAAAATTAAAGTTCAGTTTTATGTCGGCATAAATGATACAATTGTTAAGCATTAAGTATTATAAGAGTAGTTTTAATTTAAATTGAAATTTAATTTAGTGTGAGAAAATTAAGTTTTTTGATTCTATTATTTTTAAGAAATAACTATTTTCATATTATTTAAGGATTAGTTTGAGTATTCATGTTTAACAGTATTTGATTACAATAATAATAATAAAATAGTATGCTATTCGTATTGTAGTTGTGCAGATGTTTAATATGAGATTTGTTAGTTTGATTGCATTGACAAAATTTAATTATGATATGTTATTAGTTTAATAATAATAAAAAATTAGAAGACTCTTTTATTTGAAATAATAGTTGTTTTAATTAAGAAATTTCTTAAATTTGTTTTATCCTATAGTTTTCTCTTTATTCAAAGGGTTCTTTTTTCCATGGGTTGCCTTTTTTTCCCCCTCTGTGCTTAAACCTGCTATCTCCTGATTTATTGTGTGTAAAATTTTATGCATTTCTCTAGGTTGTGAGTGCTCTGTACTATCTTCAGGTTAAACTGAAAGTTATTCATCGTGATGTGAAGCCATCCAACATTTTAATAAGTAGAAGTGGGGAAGTTAAAATTTGTGATTTTGGAATTTCTGGACATTTAGTGGATTCTGTTGCAAAGACTATTGAGGCAGGCTGCAAACCTTATATGGCTGTGAGTAAATTATTATTATTATTATTTTTTTTACTTCCATTGTTCATTCATGTTGATTATGAGTGCTTTGTTCGAAAATAAACTGGTTTTGTGTGGTTTTTTACTATGAAATGTATCTAGTATTGAAACAGGACTCGAAATTAATGCTGTTGCATTGGCCTAAGACCCCAAAAATTTGACACAGACCACTCTAAATTAATCTGTGGTCCCCGGAACATCAACTGTTGTAAAGGGAAGGTGTAATATTTTTGATTTTCTGTTTTGTGTTATGATCTGAGTTATTATCTCAAAATAGTATATTTCATTATAATTGTGAACATTACACATTTTTGTATTATAATTTTTCATTTAAATTCACTTTATTAACTACTTAAACAAAATTCCAATAGAGACAAGTAAATAAACAAGTGAAAATATGTACATACTAGTAATTTCTTTTAGCCATGTGTCTGTGGAGAAGTGACTAAATTTTCTTAATTTCAACCACTGTTATGTTACAATAGTTTTCAGTCAATACATTAAGATTGCAATTGGAAGTTACTATTATCATGAAAAGGAAATCAACACTATACCTGCCAATTTGTGCAGTCTTGCGTTATTTTTATTATTATATATATATATATATTTTGTATTTATTCTAATCTTTTCAAATATATTTGCTACCTCTTAAAAAACCCTTATTTCTTCTCGAGGAAACTTCTATTAAATACACATTTACTGCTGAAAATCTTGTGATTCCCTACAAATAATAACATTACCAACATTTCCTAATAATATTACCAAAGATATGTACATAAATTCTATCACTTGATTGTAATGCTTCTATTTGTTGGAAAAGTAACTTATTTGTTTATAAAACTCTTCTTACTTTAATTTTTACTTTATTACTAAACGACAAAGCAACAAGTAGGCAGGTAAGCAACGTCTATTATCTCCAAATTTTATATTCCTATTGATTTAAATAATTATATTATTTATGTGTATTTTATGTGAGCAGACATTAAAAAAAACATAGCAAAAGTTGTATACAAATTATTATATTCTGTATTTTTGTAGAATTTTTGACAAAAATTATAAGCATGTATTTTAAAAATATGCATTATTTTTAATTGTGTTTTTTTAAAAATATATTTGGTAGAAAAATAGCTTTTTAAATATTAATATATTTTCGCCGTATAGATATAAATTTAGGTCTGACATAATTTTTTTATGAAATTGATATTTTTCCCTTTTACTCAGTATTATTCAAAATTCTAAATTTAATTTATTATGAATAAAAATTATTATAATTTTTGTAAGTTAATACTATGACTGCTTATGCGCTATAACCTGTCATATATACTAAAAATAATGCAGCAGAGGTGAAAATTGAGTTATGACATGTTTCCTAGTCCACTTAATTTATAGAATAGAATTTGATAACAGATAACAAAGTGTTATAACAGATTTATGCATGCAAAATTCTAATCGAACGTTACATTTATATTAGATTCTTTACATTTTTTTATCAAAAGCTGGAGAAGAAAGTGATAATAATTTTGAGTATCAACTTACATCCTAATTATAAGGAATAATTCTACATCAAGGAATTGCTCTACCTGGATGCAGGTGTTTGAGCAGTCCAATTATAAGACTTAATTATTCAAATATAACTCTTCTTGTTTTGAAATTCTTTGTTTTGTATATCTTTAGATAGAAAAATAATGAATATTTATATTAACCCTTTGACGGCTAGGGAAATGAGCAGTTTCATTTACTTAATTCGTGCAGTATTACGAGTAAACAGTCGTCAAAAGAGGCAACTGTTTCCCCCCACTTTTCTTCCGAAAATGTCACCCTTCTCTGGCGATGCCGTAGATAGCTAGCCTCACTCTTTTTAAAAATTTCTTAAAGTATTTGTAGTACATAAATAAGAGTTTTTACGTACTTTAAAATAATAAACAAATGATAATTATTAAATAGTAAATTATAAATGATTATAATCAATTATATAAATAATAATAGTTAATTACAAATGTAAGACAAATATTAAATTGAAAGGACTAGTTAGATACAACTAATGTAAAACTTTATGAAACATTTAAATACACTAATTACCTAAAAATCTTTTTAATCAGACTCAAAACTTGATAAGCTTTCTGTATCACAATCAGAATCATCATCATAATTATCTAACTTTCGCTTTTGAGCCATTTTACTTTACAAACACCCTAAAAAACACGCCAAAATACGCATAAAAAGTACTAGGTTAAAAAAAATAAATTCCCCTTTCATTATGAAAAGAAATTCATGGAACCCGTACTGCCATCTGTAGACAATAAAACTAACTAAATTTGTGAGTAGGATTCGTTTGTAACATAATCAATGCAGAATAATAATGACGGACGAGCTCAGCTCGTCAGCGCGCATTGGGTAAAAATTTTACTATACGAGTAGTGCTCGTTTCTAACCATTTCGGTCGAAATCTTGCTCGAGCGGAACTTGTTTGTGCACATTATGAAGCACGATGCGATTGCGAGCTGAACTCGTTTATAACCATCAAAGGGTTAATGGATGGATTGTGAGGTAGATAATTTATGTTTTAAATGAGGATATCCTTTTAGTAAAAAGATAATTGGATGGGGAAACTGAATTTGATGAGGAATTGGAAGTGGATGGGTAATTGGAAGTGGGTGGGTAATTGGAAGTGGATGGGGAATTGTAAGTGGATGGGAAATTGGATGGAAAATTGGAATTGAATGGGGAAGTGAAATTGGATGGGGAATTGAAATCAGAAGGTAATTGGAAAAAATTTGGAAGTACTGGGACTAAAGAACCTGTAGTGCTCAAAGTCTAGCAGAATCATTGAACAAAAGTTAGCATATCAAAATAAAATTGAGAACAATCAGTTTATTTGATTATATTTTGATCTTCAAATTCAATTATATCTTCAAATTCTTTTAATTTTAAGTGTTATATTTAAACATGGATTGTTAATATATATATTTTTTAATGTCTACAGCCAGAACGCATCAATCCTGCTGCTAATCAGAAAGGTTATGATATTAGATCTGATGTTTGGAGTTTGGGTATAACTATGGTAAGTTGCATATTTTGAAATGACTCTACTTCCACTTTGCTTCCTATACTTACCTCTCACTTTGATCTTATTCAGATATATTTTTGATCTTTTTTTTTGTCCGGTATACCTTTGATCTTGTTAGTTGTGCTGATATTCTTGCTTTTCGTGAAAAATCCATAAAAATGTTTCGCTGCCCCTATTTGTCTCTACTACTTATCTGTTACCGCCTTCCCCTGTATATATCCTCGATTGTTTGAGGTTAGCTCAGGAAGATGTACATGCAAGTCCACTTCTGGTGCTGGATTTNATAAAAATAAAAGTGAAAAATTCATATTGTTTAAGTATTTTTTTCTTTCACTTATTTTGTTTAAGCATTTATTTTTACAATGTAGGACTAATTTTACTTATGGCAGTGGTAAGACTTTCAGGAAAAAAAAATATTTAAATGAAATAATAATATTATAATAATAATATAATATTATAATAATAATATAATAATAAATAATATAATATTATAATAATAATAGACTTAATAACAGTATAATAGTTTAGAGAAGAAGACAATAAAATATTGGTAGACATGATTTAATTTATTTACATAAAGATACTGCACACTCAAAGTTATATAAATGAAAAAAATACAGCAGATATTGTTTTCAAGCAAATATAGATAAAGAATAAGTAAAGCCCTTAATATTTAATTTGCATGTTTCTCTAGTTAACGTTTTTCATACTTGTGGATTTTTGGTTTTCTTTAAAAAAAATCCATGGGATAAAATTGTTTTTATAACAAACATATAAATAAACCATTTAATCAATATATATATTGTATCTTTTATCAAAAGATTCTGGTATTTATAAAAATAAGGATTTATTTGTTCTCTTTATAAGTATGGATTTTAAAAGTAAGGTTTTAATTTCTGTTACAGTCCCACTCCTCTATAGTGAAAAATCTGCAGATCCAGCAATAAGTTCACTTAAAACAATAATTCACTATATCAAAATTTTTTTAAGCAACATTTAGTAGTAATAAGGAAATTAGTGGTTGAAATAGTACATTATTTGCTTTGTAAATTGCCAACTAAGTAAATATGCAACAAAGTTCCTTTACAATGAAATTTTTAATCAGAAGATTAAATAACATTAAAATTATTTTCTATGTAATAAAATGGTTGTCTCCCAATTACAAATTTTTTAATTGTTTGTTTTTTCCATTTTCATCATTTCTGGAGTTTAATACATATGTTTATCTTTTTGATTTTCGCCATTTTTGACATGACAGCAAAAAATTATTTTTATTTAAATGACTGTAAAAAAGAAATTTGAGTCCACTATAAACAAACTACCAATTTCTCTGCTGGGATAGCCTGGTCGGTAGGGCGCTGGGCCCATGTCCGAGAGTTCGAACCCCGCCGGCTGAAGACACCCCGTGTAGTTGGTGACTGATGCACGTTAAATTCTGTCGAGTCGCAAAGTCCTCAATGTTCCCATAACAAATCAATACCTCTGGGGGTACTGGATTGGAGATCGATCGTTCTCTAATTCAGGTCAAGATTAAGATCTGTGGATGAGTGAATGGATGTGTGAATGGCTCCGCCTTATAAACAGGTGTGACGTATGATGTGGCTGAAGTTGGATTCTGGCCATAGATGGCGCCACTGAAAAACAAGAAACGCACTCTCTGCCTTAAAATTGCTCGGCTTCGCTCAGCAGGCTTACTAATGTGGCCAGTAGCATTAGAAACAACAACAACAACCAATTCATCTGATGTTTACTATAAGTGTATGAAACAACATTTGTTAAATAGAAATTATTATGGAACCGCTAAAAACTTTCACTACATCTTGGGTTCATTAAAGTAGAAATGAATATATATAGTAGACATGAATTATAGTGACATTATAGTGTATGAAATAATCATACACTATTTTATTTGCTGGTATGAAAAGTTTGATAAAACAAAAATAATGTCTTTTTTTCTGCTTTTAACTGATTGTTTCATTGTTTTTAGTATGAACTCTCTATGTTGGAGTTTCCTTATCATACATGGGGTAATCCTTTTGAGCAACTCAAGCAAGTAGTGCAGGATGATCCACCTAGGCTCAAAAGTGGTAAATTTTCTGAAGAATTTGAAGATTTTATATCCCGGTGGTAATTAACTTTTATCATTACAATAATTGCTGTTTGGGGGCTGTTCAAATGTTATTTAAGCATTTTTTTTTTTTTAAAATTTTCTTTCCCCTTGTAAGCAAAGATAAGCAAACTGCATAAAGATTGCATAAGATTTTGAGTTCTAGCTATGAATGATAAGAAGAAAATGATTGATAAGAATATATCTAGCAATAATTGATAAGAATATATCTAGTAATAATTGATAAGAATATATCTAGCAATGATTGATAAAAATCTTTATGATAGTATCCATAAAATATCACAGTTCATTTCTTAAAATTCTGTTTAATTAAATTTCTGAAGCATAATTTTTTAAAACTTTGCTTTTATTCAATGTTCTTCTTTTGATTCATATGATGCTCAAGATTGCACTCCATTATTGTGTTCTTGAAAAATTATTTTTTTATATTTGAAAGAGCTTAAAAGAATAATGTTCGACTGAAGAAAATAAATCTCAATACTTAAGATTTTTTTCTTCCATTGAAATATTTTTTCAACGATTATTGTTTGCTTTTTGAAGTTTTTATCTCTCAAATTTATGAGGGATATTTGACAGTAAAGACAATTCTCAGACCCCCTGCCCCTTTTTAATAAAAATAACCAAAACTGGGTATCCTTAGGTGCTTATGTAATCTTTAAATGGCTCCTTATGTATCTCTTGTTTGCGGTTTAAATAGTTTTTTTTCCAATTCAAGCGGATAAAATCCATTTGAATATCAAATACGGTAAATTCCTCATTATCCATGGAATTGAGTAGCCCACGAAGAGCCGATAATCGGCTAAATGCTTAAAAAAGACACACAACATCAATTTTTTTAATATAAATGATAAATTTTAATATAAATTATTAGCATTTTTCTTCACATTTTCTTCTTTTACCCTTTTTTTTAATTTTGTAGGAAAAAAGTAAACTTTTTTTTGTTTTGTGGTTTTGCAAAATCAGATGGCTAAAATAAACCAGGCACAAGCAGACTTTTAACTCGGGAGTTTATACAATATTGAAAAAAGAATGCATAAAACAAAGTTCAAAGCGCACGAATTAGTTCTTATTAGTGTGCATACATTATTTTTTGAAACTCTTATCAGTAACAAAACTAAACAACAGACAACTATTCTAAAATCATGCATACTGCTCATAAAGTAGTCAAAGCTCTGCTTCATTCTTTTTCCTTAAGGGGTGTAAGTGTTCTGTGGGGACCACCCTCATTTGTTGATTATCAGGTTTAAAGCTGATAAGAGTTGTTACATGTTATCTGTTACAGATTGACTTAATAAGTGACTGAGGATAATTCATTCCCATTCGTCATATGAAGGCAAGACTGAAAAAACTGAAGTTCTTTACTTTCTATCAATATCATTGCTGTTATTAGAAACAAAACAGTCCAGGAGAAGAAACTGCTTACATGGGTGCTGAACCTATTAATTAAAATTTGAACTTTATCTTGCATTTGTAGTTCAGCAGCTGTAATTTATGACTCTGGTTGTTTTTCTCTTTACGAATGCAACACCATTTTCACCCTTTCAATGCTTGTTTTTACTTAAATATTGCACTTGAAGCTGCAATACTATAATTTTGATTACCATTATTTGATTAACTGTGAACACACACCTGGGTTACAAACATGAATGTTTGCTAATATGTTGTTCTTAAAACTTTTTTTATTAGTTTATTTTATAATAATAGTAGAAAATTTGGAATTGTAAGGTATAAAATTTTAAAGAATATTATATTTTTACGTCAAAATACAAAATTGGAGCAAAATCGGTCAAATAGCTGCTAAAAAAATTGAATTTAAAATTACGGCTTTTTCAAAATTTGATTTCTCAGAAATTCTTCGATTGATTTCACTCATATTTTGCCATTCAAAATTGCATTTTTTAAAATTATGGGAAAAATTGTATACCTTATATTTTTGTGTCTGATTTCTTAACTTAAATTATTGTCTGAAATTAATTATATTTGAGGTAACCCGTTCAAGTCAGTAAGATTGAGTCCTAAAATGTGAGGATCCGATCATTAGATAAACAGTTAATAAGGGTGTTTTGTTTTTAATTTTGTGCACAATACATTACTACAAACCACAATTACAAATAGCATACTAGTTTTCTAAATCAAGTACTGTTAAGTATGAACATTCAAACCAACTAAATAATATGGGATTTAGACTTTAAAATTTTTATCTAAAACTAAAATAAATAACATGAAATTAATAATTTTTTTAAAAGTGCATTAGAGAAACACTTGTAAATTTCTGGTGATTTGTAAAATGTAATTTGTTTGAATTTAAGCAATTTTTATAATACTTATTTCAAAACAATTGTATAGGTTATTTTTAGTTTCTTCCATACTAAATGTCCACCCTGGTTTTGATATGCATTTTTCTTTCTTTGCAGTTTACAAAAAGACTACACACTAAGGCCTAATTACCCTCAACTTCTACAGCATCCATTTATATCATCAGATTCTACACATAACTATGATATCTCGAGATATGTATCATTTGTTTTAGATATATTTCAATTGATACCGTAAACTAGCCTACGTTCATAAACATATTTGAACTAGAATATTCATCTCCCACTATTTGCATATTTAATACCCATATAATTATAAAATATAATGAGTATCTAAAAGCCCAGCAATGTCTTGTATAATCAAAAGGAGTTTTGCTATGATTCCTCCCCTTTTTAAATTATTTATTTACCTTTAAATTAATTTAATCTTTTATGCTAAATTGACAATTGTTTTTATCTTGAAAATCTTTTAATTAATTTATAAAAAAATTTTAAATTTTGTTAACATTGATTTACTTTAATGTATTTGTTTCAATTGTGCATGTATATAGAATTTTATTAATAACTATAATTTTTTTTAATGAACTGTATTTGGAAAATTACTTGACAATAATCTTATGCTACTTAAGAAAAAGTCTGACATTGTGGTTGTTGCTTATAATGTTGGGGTTATATTTTAAAAGAAAGTGATTGTTAAATACATGAATTACCTATATATATTTTGTTAGAGAAAGAATTTGTTTTGTTTTATGGTATTAACACTTTTTACCTGTATATATTTTTTATAATTTAATGATTTTTAGAAATAGGAATAGGATTATATAATAACATCATTGCATTGGGTGTATTATATTTTTGATATGTTTAGTGAATGTAGTGTTAACTCTTTAAAATCAGTTTTTTTTATTTATTTCACTTAAAGCAATTGGGGGTATAATATTTTTTCTTAGCTCATTTCACTTATGAGTATAGTATTGAAAGATGTATTGCTTCTTGTTATTATTTGAATGTCACATTCTGGCCAACCCATAGCCCTCTTTTGTTGTCTGGCAATTTTATACGGAAACTATGTCATGACACCGGCTATTATTTTGTAGTTGAGTATGAAAGCAAAGCAAAACATTCAAAAATAAACTCTAGTAAAGTTTAGTTGTATTGAATGAAATGAAATTAAACTTTGGACATGATGCACAAAGCTTTTCTAAATTTCATAAATTGAGATAGATAATGCAAGTGCAATAACGAGTTAACTCGTCATCGGTCAACAATGTGTTAACAAAATCCACAATAAACAAATGCAAATATGCGCTGGTTATACAATGAGTAAAATAAAATTTTAGTTGTCTAATTGGTATTTATATTTACAGTTATTTATATAACTGTTATAAATGAAAGATTATTTTACTGTTGACGAAAGAAAAATATAATTCGATTCAGTTTTTAATTTATGCTCCAGAATTAATATGCATATCCACGTGGACTAGAGATAATATGGCGTTGCCTGATAATGAGCAAAGCTGGCACAAGCTCATCATCTGAAAGAGGTCTTTGGACTGTGGCAAACTTAGGGCGAAGTTTTCATATACTTCGTTACTGTTTTCAAACCAAATGGTATTTTGTCTAAGTATAAAAAAATTGTAAAAAATTTAACAGTAATATCTCTCTATCTGCCATTAAGTAATCTCAGTTATACACTTTGTTTTGCCTTTGTCTTTTCAAGTTACTGCTTTTATCGCCCATATTATATCTCGGGCATAAAAGAATATTATTGATACTGGGATAGGACTAAAGTGAGCCTCAACTTATTTTTGCTCACTGCCATAAATGACATTTTCAAAGTGGCTTATGAAGTTTTTTTTTTTGGGGGGGGGCAGTTTTGTTATGTTGTTGCCCATCCCCCTGGAGGAGGAAAGCCTAGATCAGGTCCAGAAGGCCCCATTGCGTCAGTTCCCCATATATCTGCAGAAAGTCCCGATCAACCAGCAGCTGCTTATAAGAAGCGCCAAGGCAAAAAAAAGCAGGTTGTGAGTAGGAACAAGATTGGAAAGTCTTCTCCCCAATTTGAAACCTTATGCACTTAAGATGGCCACTACGAAATCTGGTCATGGCCGATTGCGACTGAACCTTCTGACTAAGGATTGTTTGCAGCTTCTTTTTAGTTAGAGGAACCACTAGGGTAGAAGACTGACTTGACCTCTGGATTTACCTGCAGTTGTTAGCTGAGCACAGTGGAACGGCTTTCACGCCTTGTGTGGCCCTACCAGAAAAATATTCTCCCGACGTTCTTCACTGGTTCCGCCCAGGGACACCCCCTCGCCGCGGTGAGGCCGACTGCAGGACTTGAGGGGGCAGTTTTGTTATAAACAATATTATTATGCATGGATTCATATTGAAAAATATTTTGTGCATACTAAATTATTTTATTAATTGAATACTTATTTTAAATGCTGAATTTAGTTGAAAATATGTGGAAAATTTTTGCTTATAATAAATTAATAATTGCTAATAATAAATTTTGTTTATCAAATTAAATATAAATTTTTTTTGATTAATTTGATAAACATAATTTATTTTTGTATTATTCAGTGCAATGTCCCTTAATCACAGTCCCTGATATACATTTTTAGGAACATTGAGAAAAATAAAGTGGTGAAATGAATAATTCATAAATTAATCATTCAGTTATACAAATAATTCATTTGTCAAATCCTTTATGCCTAAATAATAACATGAAATGTGGCTGTTGGAACAGCCTAATTTTGTAACTAAGTAGACTGGTGGTGATTATTTCTCTTCGCATTATTAAAATAACCTGGGATGAGTAATGCCAGCCAAAATGTGACTTTCAACATATAAAGTCCTTAAGAATTAAAGCTGAATATTTTATAAATATTGCTAGAACCTATCATTGATACATTCTCTGACAATAATTTAGAGGCTATTTTCTTAAAAAAAGTTATTAGGCATTTTAACAAGTTATCATTTGTTTTAATAATAGAGGATATATTAAATTAAAGTATATGATTTAAGTCATGCATATGTTTATGTAAATTAAACATGTTATTATGTTATACATGTTACATATGTTTATGTTAATTAAAAAAATAACAAACTTTCAGATAGAAATGTGAATTGTGATTAGGATAAGCATTTTTTGTAGTATAGACTAATAAAATCCAAAGTTTTGAAAATAACATTAATAAAGTTTTGTAACATATCATTTTTTTTTCTGGGACCAAAAATTGGTTGTCATAAATTCTGTATTATTATGTTCTTTAGTATTTTTCAGTTTTAATTGTAACTATTGAAAATTTCATTTAATGAATGCTACCATTTCATGCTACAGAAATTAGATATTTTATTTGTACTGATACTGAAAAGTTACAAGCAATATCTGTGTTGTAATATAACTGTATGATTTGCTTGAGCTTATCTAAAAAACGTTTATTCTGAATTTAATTATGAGAATTTTTTTTATTAAAACTATCTTTTCATGCTACAGTTTGTTTTAAAGATTTGGTATTTTATCATTTCAAATATTGAATATTGGAATTGAAATTTTAGAAGCCATGTTTTTTAAACATAAATGNTCAATTTTTTTTTTTTTTTTTAATGTGAATTTCATTTCTGAACATATTACTTAGATGTTCATAAAATTTAAATTGCATGCTGGAGATTTTATATTTATTTTGATTCATTTCTAATAAATAAATATATTTAACCCTTAGACAAATGTGAACGCAGCATTTCACTCATTAAGTAGAGTCTGATTCAAATAGAGATTTATTTCAAGCACCAAATGTATAAATATAAATGCCTTATACTGCTTCCTGCCAATCATAAATATGATATAAATCATAAAGCTTTTATGTCTATTACTTGAGAGTTATGGCCCAAATCTTGGTAAGAGCCCATTTGAGATGTCAAGTTTTGAAATCTGACAGATCACTTTAAAAATAGGTTGTTTTAAAATTAGGTATCTCTCTTAAATTTGTTAGAATTGGAAAATGTTTTAGCATTAGAAAACGAATGATAGCTATAGTGATCGATAATCTAAATATAAGTATAAATAAGTGGAATTTATATTAAATGCACCATTAGTGGTTCAAAAATATGTTTATTCCAGATGTTGATCAGAAATTATTTTTGTTGATTTGAAGTGCAATTATATGTGTTTCCAAATTTTTTAGTGTATAATGAATGAAATTATTCAGGGCTTGCACTAAATTTCCCATCATTTTTTTCTCCCTTGATGTTTAAAAATTGTAAAATAGCAAAAATAAAATTTTTACTAAATTTTTTAAAGCCCACCCAAACCTCTGTTATGCATTTGTAACATTTTAACATCCATATAAATATTGCTTGTTTGGGTAAGAACTATTATAAATAGATTTGATCAGCGGTTCCTAAATTGTGTTCAGTGAAGTCTTTTTAATTTTCATTTCAAAGAAACTGTAATTTGGTTAATTTTATTCCTTTTCAGTTTATGTATGTACACCAAAATCAGATTTAGTACTAGGCTAGACAAAGCTCCAGAGCTGTGAATTTAGCTGTAGGATCTAATTTTGGATTATTAATCATAAAACGATGAAAAAAATCATTCATATTTTTAAATAATCTTAAAATAAAATAATATATTATTGTTTAATGTTCATAATTATCTTTATATACTTTTTTTTATAAAGTTAGGGTTCTGTAAAAAGAAGTTGAATCAATTAGGGTTCCATTTCCAAAAAAAAAATTGAGAACCGCTGGGTTAGATAGTTCTTTAGTGTGAAATCTTCAGTTTATGCTTATGTACTTATATATATATATATATATATTAGCTTTTTTAAGTTCGAATCATGCTGAAATAGAATTTCCACTTATCTAGCGTTTTTACTGCCAATTTAGATTTAATAAAAAAAAAATTAGTTTACTAAAAGCAATGTTTATTTTCTAAGAAGGGGTAAAATAATAAAATTTCTGAATGTTTTTATTTGTGAAATTTTCGTTCTGAATAAAGTTGAAACTACACTCGTAAAAATGTTAGTCTAAAGAAATATTTATTTCAAGTGCAAAAAAGAGATAAAATTTAATAGGTGGCAAAGTTATCATTAAATTGTTTTTTAAAGTCTTAATGCTAAGGAAACAAAGAACTAATCTTTCCAAAATATGATGAATTAATTGCTGGAAAAAAAAATTACTGATTTTGTGGTGAGAGAAAAAGATATAAGAATTACTCTAGGGCAAATAATTTTAAATAGTTATGAATTAATTAAATAACTTTTATGATGTTAATAATGGTTATGTGATGGATAACCACTATTAATTCTATTACAATAAATAAATAAGTAATTAAGTGAAAGGAACTTCAAATCATTCTCATACCAGCCTGTAATATATTATATGGGACTTTTTTTTTATAAAATAGAAAGAAATGATCTTAATGAAATTTGTTGCAGGCCCTTCTGTTGATAGTTATTTGAATGTGGCTTAGTGATGTTTGGAAATTTATAGTTTTGTATGATATGAAGTCTATTTTTGCAATACATAGAATGTGACTTTTTCTCATTGTTCTGTAAATAGCCTATTTTTAGTAATCGCACAAATATCTCTTGTCATTTGTTATTGTTTATTTCATTGTTAGTTGCTTGGAGTACAAATCAAAAATGTTGCTGATTAAAAGGAATAGCTGCTATTTTACCCATGACTGTTGTAAAATAATTATTAAAATATTAGATATCTAGCTTTTGTGTTTTTATTATCTTTGGTTGCTTAAATCTGACTTTGAAGAAAATGTGTATAAACTGTTTTTTAAAAAATGCTAAAGTTTCAAAATATGCATATAAGCGTTATATATATATATCAAAGACAAAAAAAATCATGATTTTCCATTGATGAACCAACATAAATGTGGTTATCATCTTGAACTTTCATCAAAAACCATCATACAGCTTGATGGGACCATCAAATCTGCCTAATATCTCAAGCTAGGATTTGATACCTTTTCATGTTGGGCCAGCATAGCATACCCATCATAATATGATGGATTTTTATAATGGGACAACAAAAATAATCCATCATGATCCAACATATTTATAATTTTCCATCACTAACCATCATTTTTTCCCCCGGACCGTCAGGACTGCCCAACACCCCAACTGAAATTGACCCAGCTTTATGTTGGGTCAATCACTCTCTTCGTTTGAGTTTGGTGATTGGGCTTCTTTCACTTCAAACAGTGGATCTTACCTTTATAAGGTGCGTTGCCAAGCGATGATCATTTTAGCTGCTCACTGAAGCATATGAAGAGAGTGTTTTCCACCACTGCCGTACACCCTCTGTCTACTCATTTTCCCTTCATAAAAAAAATACTGGTTGCCACATTTACGGGACAATATGCATAATTTATATATGTGTGATTCATCTATATACTGTTGACCTATCGTCTTCTCTACTTATCGGTTAAATGGAGCATGCGCAGGCGACTGCTTTTTAGAGTTGTCACCCACAGAAACATTAACACCTATGATTAATGAGTACAAATTTTAATATGGCGAAGCATTGTCAAAAATTTATATGCGATATTTTCCTAATTAATCTACGATAACACGACCCAAATCGCAGCTTTTGTTTTCGAGTTAGTGGCGAACCTACATCCAGGTAGATTTTCGCTATAGAGAGGGAGGTAAACTAATACAATAGAATTATTAGGGGGACCAGAA